ACCGAGACACAGGTGTCCTCTCCGGCTGATACTTCGTATCTCTCCTGCCCGGGGTACTGATTAGAACACTCCTTTGTGCCCCCGGGCTAGAGTTTGCGTGTACGTCAAAGTGGACATCTGTTTTCGATGCCTCGGCAGCCTTGAAGGTACGGTCCTATCCATATTATGGCTGCGCGTAGACAGCGACGATCATCCCCGCGTCTACGGGTGCCTCTATAGGTCCCATAGCGGCAATACCGACACAGACCGACTCATCGACCACGTCCAAATGGCTGCAGACTCCGTGCTACAACAGGTCCCGTCCGCAAAGATCGTGACGTTTGGTGCTTTTGATTGGAAGATCATGTACCTTCCCTGTTGAACCTTCTGCTGACCTCCCATCCGGACGGATATCAGGTCTCCGTCGATCTCCCCTCTTAGCTCCTCGGACCGTTGTCTGATCCGGAGTACGGTGCCACTCACGCTCCCATCGCAGTTGCGTTCTGCAGGTTGCCGCCATGTTTGGCGTTATAGGTTAGCCGATTGGGGCGGGATGCGATCTTTTTTTGCATCCTACCTCTGGAGGCGGATTTGTTTCTCACCGAGTAATCCCAGCGTTGTTGCTGATTCTATCTCTGATGTGTTGCTACAGGGAATGGGACTATTTATTCCATCATCTGTGATACCTATCGGAGGCAGAACCCAGCCATGATTTGGTCGCTCCTGCAAATTGCATTACGCCATAAGCAAGAGTCCTACCATGCCTGGGCTCACACATTGACGTCTCGGGATGCAAATACCAGCGCTTGATCGATACTGTTTAAAAATATCGATACGTTTAATATCGATATATTTTTTCACTAGCCCATACCTACAAAAGTATAATAAATATATGTATAAGAGTATAAAAACGAAGATCCCGAATGAGATGATAACATGGCTTAAAGGACAAGCATTCAAGCAAAAATCTTAACAAATAATAAAAAAAATGTTTACAAGTAAAGAGAGCATCCTGACTATATATTATTGCAGACAAAATTGAACTACTAGCGCCTCCTACAAATTAAATCCGAACTAATTCGCTATACAGGCTTATTTTACAATAACCGGCCAAATTTGCAGAGAAGGTTCAGAATAAGTAACATAGGCAAATGGTGAATAAAAATTAATTTAATAAAATCTCAGATATCCTGTCCTTTTTATCTTTAAAATTCAAAATTCGTGGCAGTGCATTAATTTAACTGATTTTACTGCACACGCACACATGTAAGGGTCGATCGGTGGGCAAAAACGTGGTTGCCCATAAAACACATTGAAATTGGGATCATTTCAAATAAGCGTAGATGCTTGGTATATCGGTATTTATATATTTGAACTTAAGTTTAAAATTTGGCTACTCTTTGAAAAATAACCCTGCATATATGTTCCTTATTTAGTATAGGTACTTACTGGAACAGTTTTAATGCCTACTTTCTGTGTACTGCTTTTGATATTATTAAAATTACATAGGTAAAACCATAGATTTAGTATAATTATACTTACGATAGATTGGCAGTGTAAAAGAGATAGGGCATAGGATATGCTTACGTTATAATGAGATAGAATGGCTAGACCATACACGTACACGCTATAGGCCTATATCGGGTTGACGACAATCGTTAACGAAACTTATCCCGCTAATTTTCACGATATACTTGGTTTTGAAATATTAATAAGTGATTAAAGTGGTAAGTATATACGTGGTAGAGCCATGCTGCAGCTACATATGTAGTATAGTTGTAGCACGAATGGGTCGGCTCGACAGGGGAAGGACCACTCTCTCACAGAATACCAGCGTAAAATAGCAGTTTAATACTGCTATGTTTCGTATGGTGAGTGTAGAGAACTGGAGACCCTTTTTATTGGAAACGAGGCATTCCATCTTAGTCCTCATGGTTGACAACGCATCTGCATTTTGATTCGTAATCAAAGATAGATGGAGATGTCTATGGGCCACAGCAACCACTTACCATCAGGTGGACTGTGTGCTCGTTTATCCTATAAAATAACCCTTATCCTAGAAACAAAATGGAGTTCAATGAGAGAAGAAAATCCACAAAATTATACATTTCACACGTAAGTACAATAAAAATATATATCACTGCAATAAAATGTTTTATACACAAATGAATAGGGGAAAATATCCGTATTTTATTACGACAATGCTCTAAATGCGTAAGAATTATATTAAAAATAATAACAAGTACGTGTATTTCCGCTATTGCTGATCTAATTTTTTTATAGATTGACACTAAATATATATCAATATCATCTTATCGATATGTTTATAACAGGCAAAGGCATATCTTTGGATGTAGCCTCTTGTAACTTCGTAAATTTTTTTTAATTTTTAGGGTTTCGTAGCCAAATTGGCATTATAGTGAATACTTTAATGAGATAATTTAAACTTATAATGTTTCAGATTTCCAAAAAATATTGAAGTTGAACAAAAATGGTTAAAAATGATACATAGAGAAGACTGAGTTCACAAAAAATATTCAACTATACGTAGGAACTTTGAACAAAAATGTTTTTCTCACAGAAACGCTCATATATTTTACTTAATGTTCATTTCGTTAAGCATGTTCAAATGTGTACAACTTGTTGCCGTCATCCTTGTGATGTATATTTTTTTATAAAATAAAACGAAAGTAACAAAGGAACTTACAGTATCACTTGATGGTAAATGGCTACTGCAGTACGTGATCACCTACAGTCAGCTTCAAACAAAGAAAACTACAAATGTGTTTTCACCCCTGAGTACTAAGTTAAAATGCCTTACAGCTACAGGCTCTCTATACACAACAGGCCTGAACGCGGCAGTTTAAGCATTATAAACTAAAATTTATACGGTGTTTGCAATGAAACCAGAAAGTTAAAGTTGTTAAAAAATTACTTCGCGTACATCCGCTCGATAAAATAAAATGATGTGTCTTACCTAGTTTGAAGAGAACCTACCGTCCGCGGTGGCTGATCTTAGCGGTCAGTCACCGCAGTGTCTAGATTACCTGAAGATGCATCGTGTAGAGGCGAAACACGTGTCGTATTGTCGTCGGTGGTGTCTTTTCTAGTGTAGTGGTGTTGGTAGTGGTGCTGGGATTAGTGGTGACGGGGATAGTGCACGCAATTGAGGGAGGGCGGGCGGTGCTCTTCAAACTAGGTAAGACACATCATTTTATTTTATCGAGCGGATGTACGCGAGGTAATTTTTTACCAACTTTAATATAATGGGCTTCCGCAAAGTAACGCCTGATTCTACTAATTATCTGAAACCAGAAAGATAAACCATAAACAATAAATTGCTAGGGTTGTCAGAACGGGAATAATAAAAAAATAAAAACTGATTTTATTTTATTTCACGTTTAAACAAATTAATGTGCACGTGAAAACTGATGAAACTTTAATTTCTTATCTTTAAATGAGGACGATCCACAGTTTTTTCTGCACACGTAGTGGGAAACCATTTCAATTTATTTGCGTGACAGGACAACTCTAGCGGACAGTAACCTTCGGCCCGCACCGCACCGCACGATTGCCCCGTCTAGACGCCTTCGATGACCGACTGTTAGTAGAAGTTAGACTGTGGCTATACCGTGCAGTGGCGGTGTAAGAATATCCACTACCCCATATCATCCCGTGGGTGTCGTAAGAGGCGACAGATTGAAACAAATCAGGAGATAGGCAGCAGCGTCATCCTAATACTCGTAACATGACTTAAAACCAAATTAAACTGCGGTTGCCTACCCGCTTGCCAGGCGTGGCAACTATGGCAAATATCCCTCCTATGAGGTAATTTGTGGAGGAGCCCTATATCCAGCAATGGAATTTAATACGATGTAACGGATTAGCTATAAAGAAATAATAGAAAACTGCTTTATGTTAATTGCTATCAGCTTGAGTACGTACCACAAGATATTTTATTTATAATAGAGTTATATGTATATCTTTTGACCTACTAAATTTTCAGCATTAAGGCCAAATAGAACAAATATATCATAATTTAGACACTATTTTAACAATTGAGAGTTGATACTTCTCGAATGGATGTTTAAAATACTTTATAATAATCGAAATGACTAAATATATGATTTAAACGACGGGAAAACCTTTGACGATCAACTTGAACATTTTTTTAAGTGATAACAGTATTTTTTCGATAAAATGTAAAGTATGTTATTAAATGACATTTTTATTTACTACATTTTTCTTTAGAACGTGACAATAAACCAACACGTTTAAAATTATTTAACTTCACGCTTTCTTCGTGCTTATTAAATATGGATGCAGCGGATAAGAGAGCGCTACGAGCCTTTTAACGTAGGAAATCCTCGCCTTAAAAGCCTATTACCTACAATTTCCAGATAATATTCAATAGATGTAAATTTCAGATTTAGATACTATTAAATTAATTAAAGTTATTCGTTGAAGTTTCAGACCAATATAGAAATATAAACGGAGCGCCGACATTGCAAGAGCTTTTTTTCTTAATCAGTTCGTCAAAGCCATTGCTGGGCCCACACATATGCTGCTTTACAGGGTTCCGTACTAAAAGGGTAACCAACGGGACACTATTACTAAGCCTCCGCTGTCCGTTCGTCCATCTGTCTGTCTGTCAGAGGCTGTATCTCATGTTGAAATTTTCACAGAATTTGTATTTCTGTTGTCGCTATAATAACAAATAAAAAATAAATAAAAATGAATTAAAAATTAAAGGGGAGTCAGTCCCCTACTCGAGACGTGTTTTACGATGGTACGGAACCCTTCATGCGCGAGTCCGACTCGCAATTGTAAGGCTTTTTCTTTTCTTTAGTCTTTGAATTTTATAGAACTACAGCAAAAAAGGTTGGTTACCCCTGTAGTTGGCGTAAATCAATCAATCAATTCTCGAGCGTGGAAATAGTGTCTAAATTACGATATTTGTTTCTGATCTGTGTGTGATCTGAGCGTCTGTGTGCGTGGGTATATATGAGTGCTGCACTCACCAGCGTACTGAGCGTATTGAGCGGAATACGCGAGGCTGAGCTGCTTGGAGCCCCACAGCAACGCGTGTCCGTACTGCTGCGGACGCTCCCGTTGCACGCCCGCAGCGAATTGTATGCCGCGGCATTTCACGAATCTGCGACAAAATAGCCGAAATTATATCGATATTTTTTTCATTTGCCCATCCCTACCTACCTATACTGATGGTGAAAGTCGGTGGTCCAATAGGTCAGGCCAAAAACGACTTATTGGGTTTCCTATCCTAAATTTTCAGTTAGGAATTTGACGGTGTTTCACCTCACAGAGGTGAAACACCGTCAAACCTTAGAACGCACGAAAAGCCGTTAGTCTTGCGCCTGATCTCTCTCCGGTCGTATTGAATTGCCGTTTGATCGGACTATGAGTGTGAGGGAATAGAAAACGCAACAGTGCTTACGCATACACTCGTTCATTATAAATATAACTAATGTTTAAATAAGAAAAGGAACAAACTCACCTATCCGTGGCAGCGTTATAACAATAGTTGGGCAGGAAATCGTAGTTGAGCTCCCAGAACACGTGCAGCGTGACTCGACCGTAAGGCGCGAGCACACCGTGGTCGGACTCGCGCAGGATCGCGTCGAACTCGTCCAGGGTCAAGTAGCGGCTGAGCAACTTGTGGCAGAGCCGGTTCACCGATATCAGACCTTCCAATTCCTGGTGGGATAAAAAGTTGTTCGTAAATAATGATAGATGACGTGTCAATTCGAGAATTGCAAAAATGAGAATTTAAATACCCATTTTGTACTCTTAAAAGGATCGGCCTAGATAGTTATTGAGTTCAATAATATTATTATAACTAGTGGTCGCCTATTGGTCGAAATTCGACCGTAATTTATTAAATATTTAAGTTTGTATAATAAGTAAGCTATATAATATGTCACTTTCAACTGCATATTAATATATAGAACAGAGACATTTCACCGTTTTACCGCGACGTACTCCCTACAATATTGAATAAGGAACATTTGATATCATACGAAATCCTCGGCTAATTCCTAAGGCTCATTCAGTCAATATGTCAGTAATTATTTGTTGGCAACATTTTAAAATTCTTAAGCGACAATATCTAATTTGTTTCACTGGTTGACCATAGTGAATTATGTGTTTGACATTTTTTTTTAGATAGAGTGACAAACGAGCACACAGTCCACCTGATGGTAAGTAGTTGCTGTAGCCCATAGACATCTACATTTATCCTCGTTTGTGAATCAAAATGCAGATGCGTTGTCACCCGTGAGGACTAAGATGGAATGCCTCTTTTCCAGTAAAAAGGGTGTCCGGTTCTCTACACTCACCATTTTACGCTGGTATTCTGTGAGAGCGTGGTCCTTCCCCGGTCGAGCCGACCCATTCGTGCTACAACTATACTACTAATATAGCTGCAGCATGGCTCTACCACGTGTTAGATTGGCATTGGCAGCACATTGGCAGTATGAACGTAATTAAATTTTATTTTCATTAATGTTAAAAAAGGAAATCAAACTAAATATTTTTATAAGAATAAGTACAAAGAAATAGACTTTTAATTTGTACCATAGACAAATATCGATAAAAACACACATCACAGTCTACATTAAATATAAGGAAACGTAGCACAGACTTTAGCTACTGATTAGCTAGTTTAATGTATACTAGCTGTTCCCCGAAACTTCGCTCGCGTGTTAGGGTTTATATGTTTTTGCGCAGAACCCTAATTCTTTTTCTAAAATAAAAGTAGCCTAAGTTACTCCTTATGAAATCAGATATCTGCCAATGAAAGTCTCGTCAAAATCGGTCCAGCCGTTTCGGATATTAGCTGCAACAAACAGACAGACAGACAAAAATTGTAAAAATTGTATTTTAGTTATAAGTACCGTATTTACTTTCATATGCATTTAGTAAAATAATGTAAGGGAAAGGGGTCCCAGCAGGACTGTAAAAACTACCGTGGTATCAGTTTGCTTAGCATTGTGGGTAAACTGTATGCTAAGGTGTTAATTGAAAGAGTTATGGAAGAAACTGATGGAAAAATTTGGGATGTGCAAGCTGGATTTAGAAAGGGGATGGGGTGTTCGGATCAAATCTTTTCCATGCGCATGATAGTGGAGAAGTATTTTGGCCAAAAACCAGAAGGTTTTTTGTGCGTTCATGGACTTGGAAAAGGCTTATGACAGAGTGGACAGGAATGTGTTATGGCAAACACTGAACTCATTTAGGTTGAGCGCTGGCTTGATACAGGCATTAAGGTCTCTTTATAGGGACTCTAGTGCTTGTGTCAGGATCAACGGGGTCTACTCGGACAGGTTTGGCATTCATAAAGGTGTCAGACAGGGATGTGTGGCTTCCCCGTGGCTGTTTAACCTATTTATGGACAGTTGTTTGCAAACTTTGAAAGTTGAAGAATGTGAGTTGAGAATGGGTGAGTCAACCGTCAAATGCCTTTTGTACGCCGATGATCAAGTCATATTTGCATCGTCGGCGGCCGAGTTACAAATGATGGTTACTTTAATGAATTGGTCATTGAAAGAAAGGGGCATGAAAGTGAACGCAAGTAAGACGAAAGTGATGGTTTTTGAAAGAGAAGAAAGTAAAACTTTATGTGAAATAAGAATAGAAGGGGAGTTGATTGAGCAAGTGGATGAGTTTGTATATTTGGGATGTTTATTTAGCAGGGATGGTAGATATGACAAGGATATAGAACGACGAGTGAACGCAGGAAATAGAATGAATGGGGCTCTACACGCTATTATGAGGAGTCAGAATGTGTCAACTAAGGCACGTATAGCAATTCATAATGCTGTGTTAGTCCCTACTTTAATGTATGGTAGTGAAAGTTGAGTCTGGCAGAAAAAGCATGAGAGTAGAATAAATGCTGTAGAAATGCGGTCCTTAAGGAGTATGCTAGGGTTGAATTTGAATGACAGGGTGAGAAATAGTGTGATAAGACAAAAGTGTGGTTTGCAAGATGACGTTGTGACAAGGATTAAGAAAGGAATGCTTCGGTGGTTTGGTCATGTAGAAAGAATGAACGAGGAAAGAGTGACAAAGCAAATTTATGTTGCAGAAGTGAACGGCAGGGTCGGGAAGGAACGCCCTAGACGAAGGTTTATCGACCAAATCGGCGATACATTAAAAATGGGCCAGATTAGGAGTACCCTTAACCGACGAGCGTGTATGCGTAGATATATGGATGAAAAAAAAGGCGAGAGAGGTGTGTCAGGATCGCGCCAAATGGAAGTCCGTAGTCTCTGCCTACCCCTCTGGGTGACAGGCGTGAGTGTTTATGTTATGTTATGTTATGTAAAATAATGTAATTTTGACATAACAAACAGACACTTCAACTTTATTTATTTGTATAGATAATATTTATAACAAATATCTTTAATGTGATCTTCGCATACGTGTGGTAACTGTGTTAGAATATCATGAAATCTACGATACAAATGTTGTTATTTTGTTTCTGAATTAGCGTTTCCGTTTTTTGAGTCTACTGTACTTATATGTGCTGAAACTCGACTGCCTCGTTGGTTTAGTGATTGTAAAAGCGATTGCTGATTATGAGGTCCTGGCTTCGGATCCCAGGTCGGGCTACAATCAGTTATTGGTTCTCTTAAGAAATTCTAGGTAGCATCTCGGAGTCAGTAAGTTGTCTGTGTTTCACTCCCGTGCCTGGGAAAACACGTAAAGCGGTTGGTCCTGCACTTGATCTGTCTCTGGTCGTGTCGGGTTGCCGTCCTAGTGTGCTTACGTATACACACTGACACTATAATCCTGCCTGTCCTACGCAGATGGCTAGTCTTTATTAAGACTGGCCGCCGTGACCGAAATTCGGTCTGGAGTACATTATATGCTGAAACTATGTTTAACATTAGACTCACCACGACGCCGGTGATGTCGCCGGCTTCGAACTTGGCGACCGCCGCGTCCAGGGCGCGGTGCATGTCGGCATTGATGCGCTGCGCCACCTGCCACCACAAAATGTTATTTTAAAACTAGCTGTTCCTCGCGACTTCGCCCGCGTGTTATTTGGGGTTTTAATTTTTTTGCACGGAACCCTAATTCTTTTTCTAAAGTAAAAGTAGCCTAAGTTACTCCTTGTGACATCAGTTATCTGCCAGTGTAAAATCCCGTCAAAATCGGTCCAGCCGTTTCGGAGATTAGCCGGACAAACAGACAGACAAAAACTTTAAAAATTGTATTTTTGTTATTAGTACCGTATATACTTTCATATGCGTTTAGCAAAATGCTGTAATTTTGACATTACAAACAGACACTTCAGTATTATTTATTTGTATATCTTATAATATAAAAATGAATCGCTGAACGTGTTGCTAAGCGCAAATCTCGAGAGCAGCTGAACCGATTTCGCTAATTTTTTTTTAATAATATTTCTTGAAGTACGAAGATGGTTCTTACGGAGAGAAAAATTTAAAAAAATACCTGAAAAAGTCTCAAAACAACACTTTTCTATATTCCCATACAAAAGATTCGTAAAAATACATAAAAGTCAATTTGAACTTTAATACCATACCATAAAGTTTAAGTGTTAGTGGAAGGGTTCCGGGAAGGCAAAAAAATTGAGTGACGTTAGTTAGTATCGTATAAATATTAATGTCAATAGTGTTTTATAATTTTTATTTTCGACATAATGTAGTTGTTGACTTATCAACTTTCTTTTTTCTTTTTTTATCTTACTAGCTGACCCGGTGTCCCGAATAGCAGAATAAGTATTAAAAAAAATAAAGAATTGACTGTTAGGCGGTACGAAGTTCGCCGGGTCAGCTAGTAGATTAATAAGAATAGAACAGGATAGTATATTTTTAATTCAATATAGATTACGAGTAATTCTTACTGTAATTTCTTTACATTTACCACTGGTTCGGAAGAAACCTTTGGTCTGGGAAGAACCAGCCAGAAACCCAGTGGGACTTTTTCTTTAAAACTGGCGTGTTGTGGTTTAACCCTCCCTCTGTCGCCTCTAACAATACCCTCGAAGTGATATGGAATAGTGGATTTTTTAAGCCGCCACTACACCGGGTCTCGTGTTTATCGGGGGTCTTTAGTGTGAATCGGGGATTTTTAGAGTAAGGGATCGGGGTCTATATTGTGAATCGAGGGTTTTTATTAAAGTATGGAGGGGTCTTCTGTAATAAGTATCGAGGGTCTTTAATGTGACGAATCAGAAGACTGTAGGACAGGGGTTCCCAAAGTGTGTGCCGTAGACAGTAAAGATAGGTGCCGTGAGACGCTTCTATTTACCACTCTCCAAAAACGAAACTTATGTATTCGCAGGTACAAAATAAACTGGATTTTCAGTTGTAGATGTAATAAAGAGCAAATATCGCTCAAAGATCAATGTGGAGCTAGAAATGCGAGCAGCGGTGTCAAGACTTATCCCATGCTTTGAAAAAATGTATGGAGAGCTTACACGTCACATTGTCTAAGTTGGCATTGTATTTTATTTTCTATTTATCTTAAATAAAAAAAAGACTTTTATTCTTGTGTGTCAATATAAATATTAGGCTTCATATTGTAGATGTTGTAATTTTTATGCCTATCTACCTAATATCATTGTACCTTGTTTGGACCAGCCAGGGCGCCGAGACACAATAATAAACTTGTAAGTGTACCGCGAACTTAAAAAGTTTGAGAACCCCTGCTGTAGGGTATATTAACGCAAGGTCTTTAATGTGAGAGATAGGCAGAGTTTTTAGAGCGTCAACGGTTTTTAGTTTAGGGGATCAGGGTACTGTAGTGTGAATCGAGGATTTTTAGTTAGGGGGGGGGGGGGGGCTCTTCTGTAAAGAGGTGTATATTAAGGGTCTTTAACGTGAGGGACCAGGGGGACTGTAGTGTGTATCTTGGGTCTTCTATGTGTGGGATCGGGGGTGTGTAGTGTGAATCGAGGGTTTTTAGTGAACGATTGAGGTCTGTAGTGTATCTAGGGTCTTTAATGTATATGATCACTTGTCTGTAGTATGAATCGAGGGTATTTATTGAGGAATTGTGGGTACGAGTGTAAATTAAGGGGTTTTAGTGTGAGGGGTCGGGTGTCTGTAGTGTGTACCGAGGTTCTTTGTGTCACAGATCGGGGATCTGTAGGATCTGTCAAATGAAGCGGTCTGAAGATGTGTACAATGCGAGGGATTAGTGCGGTAGTATCGGCTGGCATCCTTACCAGAGCGTTCAAGTCGACGTGTCGTCCCAGCAGAGCCACGTGCCGTTGTCTCAGCAACGAGGCGTATCGCCCCGCGCCACCTCCCGTGGTGGCACCTCTAGCCGCACATTCAGCACGGTAGCGCTTGTCCAGCAACATGCTGACAAAACCAACATTTGTGTTAATAATGTATGCCAACGGAGACTAGGCCTCTGTGCAGGACAGGATTATAGCGCAGGGGTATGTGTGCACAAAAAAGTTAAAATTACAACCAATTCACATCTCACAACTGGGCGTAGACATCTCATTTCAGGTTGTGTTGGATTTCACATGTCTTCAAAATATATTTATTACTCAGGTTATACTGACAATTCTAAATAATAAGAACTGCGGTTGCCAACCCGCCTGCCAAACGTGGTAACTATGGCAAATTTGCCCTATGAGACAATCTATAGGTTAGGCCTTTGTCCAGTGGTGGACTTCTATAGGATGTAATGCATGCATTGATTATATAACAATACATTTTTTTATCGATATACCTTCGAAATATATTTATTCCTCAGGAAAACATCGTGAGGAAACCTGCATGTTTTCCTTAACCGCCGAGCACGTGATCAAACTGCACTTAAAATTCCAATTAAAAATTAAATTAGATACAGCCGGGGATCGACTCCAAGATGCTCGCGTACTGTCTAATTTACGGTGAGCGCTTACGCAATGGAAAATGAAAAAGCTACTGCCCATCTACCCTTTTTGTAAACTGAAACAAGAGATGAACATAGTCCCATCTGTCATCTTTTAGGACGAAGTTCCTTATCGGAGACGGTACGAATTTGACGGATGGGAGCTAGGCGAGAAAACGTGTAAGATTTGACCGTCACGACCCTTTCTAAATAAAAAAAATATTCATAACTGACGTAAGCTTCTTCTAACTTCGAGATACATCGCAAAGTCCTTTGACTCTGGCGCAAAAACCGACAGCGATCGGAAGTCGCCCGAGGCGAAGCGAGGTTGGACGAAGTGAATCGAAGTACCTCTCTACACTATTCGCCTCGTCCAACTTCGATCTACTTCGCGAGTAGTGTAAAGGAGGCATAATAAAACAAATCTAATGAAGTCATAGTTTTACAGTCAAATAATCATATTGTATATGTATATTTGTACTTAAAATCTATTTTAACTTTAATTTGAAAACGACCAAGTTTTGAGATTCTACTAAATATAGCAGATTCTAATTATCATCACAGGCTCGCCATTTGCAACTCTCTGCAGCCTTGTATTTGCTGGCAGCAGGTACCCATGACCGTGTGGTACTTACACTTAACACTTAAAACTAAATATACTTCCAACTGCTGGGCACAGGCCTCCTCTCATTTCTGAGAGGGTTTTAGGGCAGGGAAATGTCCACCGCGCTGACGCAATGCGTGTTGGCGAACTTCACATGTCTTCGAAATATTTTTTTTCTTATTTCTCAGACGTGCAGGTTTCCTCACGATGTTTTCCTTCACCGCCGAAGCACGTGGTAAACCCGTGGCACGTGGTATTAGGGTTAAGGCAGAATACATTGAAAAGGAAAAAAATAGTTTAATGTTGTAACATGAAATGTATTTCATTTCAATTCTGCGAACTTTTTGACCTACCCTCGTAAACTCGCCACAAGAAATTTGAACGCTACTGCCCACTTAACCGTTTACTGTCAGTTGTCCTGTAACTAACTAAACTCGCCACTGTACTTGTCGAAGTGTAAATCGCACCTTACACACATTGAGTTAAATTTGAAAATGTTACATTACAAGTAATTCGCGACGAGGCGGTTCGAACAGCGTCAGCATAAAACAAATGTATGGTATTTGGGCCGTCCAGTGTTCCTAGCAACAACCACTTTTAAGCACTAACCTCGCGGCCAGCTGCTTATAGTGCGCGTAGACTTGTTCGGACAGCTTGTAGACGAACTGATCGAAGCACAAGTTGACCTCGGCCTCCACCTCGTCATACAGGAACTGCTTGCGGAACACCGTGAGCGCGTACTGCGCCGAGTCGTTGTACAAATCCAGAGGGTAGAGGACATATCTGGGGAAAAGTTCGTAAAAAAATTATTATAGTACATAAACACCGGTTTTTTTTTTAATAGGATAGGGTGACAAACGAGCACACAGTCCACCTGATGGTAAGTGGTTGCCGCGGCCCATAGACATCTACATCTATCCTCAATAAAGAATCAAAATGCAGATGCGTCGTCACTCGTAAGGACTAAGATAGAATGCCTCTTTTCCAGTAAAGTGATGTATTCTGTGAGAGCGTGGTCCTTCCCCGGTCGAGCCGACCCATTCGTGCTACAACTATACTACTAATATAGCTGCAACCGGGAAGGACCACGCTCTCACAGAATACCAGCGTAAAATAGCAGCTTAACGCTGCTGTATTTCGTATGGTGAGAGAACCGGAGACCCTTTTTACTGGAAACGAGGCATCACATCTTAGTCCTCACGGGTGACAACGCATCTGCATTTTGATTCGCAAATGAGGATAAATGTAGATGTCTATGGGCCACAGCAACCACTTACCATCAGGTGGACTGTGTGCTCGTTTGTCACCCTTATCATATATAAAAAAGGACACACTGGTATTCTGTTAAAGCGTGGTTTTTACCCAGTCGAGCCGACCCATTCGTGCGATAAATATAGATGCTGCATAGCTCTAACACGATTATTTAAAAATTATGTTATTTAGGGTTTGCGGGCTTATATAAGGTTGCTCGGAGGCGTGTGTTTTTTACCCGTTCTAAGCAAGTGATGGATAACTATACAATCTAATATATAAAAATGTATTTTTGTTTGTTCGCATTTTATGCGCTGCTATACCGTTCATCGGATTACGCTAAAACTTTGTCAACTTATTCCTCGCACTTGTGAGAAGGTAATAGGCATATTACAACTAACTTACAATATCGTACCGACAAAATTTGAATGCTATACATCACTAGACATCGGATTTTATGCATTTGCATATACAAATGCATATAACTCTCTAATAACTGCATTGATGCATATTTTAGCCTTTTTTCCCAATCGTGCATATTTCGTTTAGTAGCGGGAGGTACGTACAGGGACCTAGGTGACGAAGACGTGTAGGGCGCGAGCGCAGTGGCTGACTGAACTGACTGGCCTAATTTTAAATTTTGTCCAACGACGTCAGTTGATGTAGAGAGGTCGTTTTCGGCGTACATTCGGTACGTTTCGGTTTCGGGTGACAAACGTCACAAATTTGTGCTCGAAAATTTGGAAAAATACTTAATTGTATATTGTCATAAAAACTATGCATAATTTTAAGAACATTTCACTGTTTTTGTACCGTCTTGAATTAAAATATATAAAAATAATAATGATTTTTTGATTTTGCATTGTGCATATTTTGGGCATATCAACAATTTTAAGTGCTTATTTCGGCCCTTTTTAGTGCATATATGCATGCATATTTTGGCATTCTGTTAGTGCATATAATCCGATGTCTATACATCACTCAACTTTAGTGAATGTATTATCATTCTTAATTAAACAATATAACTCTTTCAAATTTAAAAGGATTTTCGATAAAAAAAAAATGAAGACAATTTTTTGTAGCAGCATCGCACCGGGGACCAACTAGTGTGTAATAAAAATGAGGAACAATCATCACAAAATATATTCTCTTTGATTAGAATTTGAACCATCGACAACAGCCTGATTTTTTACACCTGTATTTGAAGGTGTAGTCCACACATACTTACCTATACTCGATTACGAGTACCAAATACGGATACGTTGTCAATCCTGAGAACTAAGATATTGTAATAGTCGATACTTCACAGCAATTCACTGGTTCACACACGCACACGTAAACTCAATAGTTTCACTACGCGTCCACTCTCGCCCGCGGCTCTCGTGATACTGACACGGTGCGCTCGAAACAGTGGGTATTTATATTCGTGTATTAACAGGCAATATAAATGATAATACCTTCATTTCGATCTATGAACTGTATTTTATTACATACTTGCTAACATTTCAAAATCACATACACTACAGATATGATGTCTCGTCAGCAAATAGGGCATTCGGTTCACTACACAGTCACCATACGAAATACATCAGCATTACGCTGCTATTTCACGTTGATATTCAGTGCGAGCGTGGTCCATTCCAGGTTAAGATGAACCGCCTTAATATAGATGCAGCGTGGCTCCACCACGTCGTAAATTAGTAGTAGAAAGAATTGATCATAGTGTAATGTTGCAAAAATATCTTGCACTACTCTTTTCATATTGAAATATTTCTCAACAAAAAATGCGGTTGCTAACCTGCTTGCCAAGAGTGGCAACTGTGGGAAATATCCCCCTTTGAGGCATTCTATGGGGGAGGCTTATGTTTAGCAGTGGACTTCAATAGGCTGGAGCGATAAAGGTAACGGATCCCTCTTCATTTTTTGAGTACTTTAAAAAGAGAGAGCTTTTGGGAGAGACCTTCTGAGGTTAATTGTTCGAGCTGCGACTTGCAGCTTCGGAAGTTGCTGCTGATGAGGCGTGCTTTTGTTTCTCATCGACCTACTGTCCGCTAAATGGACGATCTGACAAACGTCTCTCCCCATCCCCCACACTTCCCCGCTCCCTCCCCTATACTCTGTGACTTTACACATATTAATTATCTGTGCGTAGCATACCGCTACATGACAATAAGTTATCGCAAAAAATACCTACTCCATCATAGCAGGCTCTTTGCTCCGCAGTATGTGGTCCGTGAGTATCCAAGGCATGGACATCTCTATGGGGAACTGGATACGCTTCTCCATGGTGATCAGATCGTTGCACTCCTCGTTGTGTTGGTGGCGGACCATACATTTCTGGAATCGAACACCATACACATTAGACTGGCAACATTGTTCGAGACTAAAGAGATAATTGAGTAGCTACTAACATTAAAGTGTCTTAAAACTGTGTGTAAAACAAATCAACTAATTTGTTTTACACACAGTTTTTGCCATCCCTTAGTGTACTAGGTGATAACTTTGACTACTAGTGTAAAATAGCAGCTTCAGTTGTTGTGTTTCATATGGTGAGTGTAGAGAACCGGAGACACTTTTAACTGGAAACGGGGCATTCCATCTTAGTCCTCACGGGTGACAACGCATCTGCATTTTGTTTCGCGGACGAGGATAGATGAAGATGTCTATGGGCCACAGCAACCACTTACCATCAGGTGGACTGTGTGCTCGCTTGTCACCCTTATCCTATTAAAATAAAACTGCTTCTTCTACTTAGGAGTATGTCTGAGTAGGTACCACGTCCTTACATACTTCTGGCGGCAAACAGCAGTGCGCGCGCTGCGGTGTTTCGGTCTAAAAAGTATAGAGCCAGTATAATTGCAGGCTTACAAGTCATTTCATCTTGCTGGTGTCCATAGGTCGCAGTGGTGACTTAACATTAATTGCACCACTATACTCATACTTTTTTATTTCCATTACAATTGGTCCATAAATATTGTATATACAATGTGTAACAAAAACTCTGCGGTTCCCTTTAAGTGCATTATCAGAGTCATTGTTCAAAAGTAAAGAAATAACTTTTTTTTCAAAAAAGTTAGACATTAAAATTTTTAATTTTAATTAAAAAAAACTCAATTAGCAAATTTTATGTGGTTTTATTATCTCTAACTGACACGAGCATCGGTGAAGGGGTCTTTCACAATCCTCCTATTCTCCGGATAATAGATAATACAATTCACAAATAATTTTTTTAATGTTTGCTCTTATTTGCTCTTCTTGCTCTTAAATATGTTCCTAGGGGATGGAGGGAAGTGAAAGTTACATTCATACCCAAACCAGGTAAGAGCGACTACACTGACCCTAAATCCTACAGGCCCATTAGCCTCACATCCTTTCTCCTAAAGACGATGGAGAGGATGTGTGAAAGGGAATTAAGGGGGTCGGCGCTAATGAACTTACCACTACACGACAAGCAACACGCCTACAGTCTAGGCAAATCAACAGAATCGGCCCTTCATAAGGTAATTACAAAGATTGAAGAGGCCATCCAAAACAAAGAAATATGTCTAGGTTCCTTCATAGATATAGAAGGTGCTTTTGACCGAACGAACTTCTCCAGCATAAAAGGTGCACTCGGTAGACACAAAGTTGAACCGGCACTGATCGACTGGATAGTTTACATGCTCAGTACACGAATAATAAAGATTGCTGGTGAATCTCAACCAATCCAAATTAAGAAAGGCTGCCCGCAGGGTGGGGTTCTCTCACCTCTCCTGTGGAATATGGTCATTAATGAACTCATCAGCAAATTAAATGACAATCACTTCTATACAGTAGGTTATGCTGATGACCTGACAATACTGGTCTCTGGAAAGACAGCAAGCATAGTGTGCGACCTGACCCAAGCGGCTCTCCGTATAGTGGAGAGATTTTGCAGGGAACACGACTTAACCGTCAATCCAAATAAAACGGTTTTAGTTATGTTCACACAAAAACGAAAGCTGAATAACTATCATCCTCCAAGTCTTTTTAGCACAAAACTCCAGCTATCCTCTGAGGTAAAATATTTAGGTCTTACCTTGGACAGCAAACTTAACTGGAATAAACACATAGAAAACAAAATCAACAAAGCTAGTATAACTTTCTGGCAATGCAGAAACATGATTGGCAAAAGATGGGGATTGACGCCAAAAATCATACTGTGGCTTTACAAAACTGTAATTCGGCCCAATGATCACATACGGCGCTCTGGTATGGTGGACCAAGACAAATGAAGCCACCATAATTAAAAAGCTTCAGCGCTACCAGAGACTGGCATGTATGGCTGCCACAGGCTGCATGAGAACTACGCCAACAGCAGCCTTAGAAGCGATGCTGGAGCTAACTCCGCTTCATCTACATATACAACAAGAAGCGACTTTAGCTGCCATCAGACTCAAGACCCTAAATCTTTGGAGTAAGAATAGTGTCCCTCATACAGGCATAATTGATAGAATTCACTCAAAAATTCCTATCCTACAAGCCAAATACGATAGGATTCCTAAACAATTTGTTTTCGATAAGAAATACAAGATACAGTTAAATGAAAACAGCCAGCCGGAAGGATTAAGCCCAAAAGAGCTTAGAATTTTCACCGATGGTTCTAAAACAAATGAAGGTGTAGGTTCTGGAGCTTTCTCTGAAGACCTCAATATTCACATATGCACACCGCTGGGTACCTATAACACGGTCTTTCAGGCGGAATGTATGGGTATCATTCAAGCGGCCATAGCAATAGATGCTAGGAAGGTTAATGACTTCCCCATCAGAATACTGACCGACAGTAGGGCGGTACTCCAAGCCCTGAGATGCAATGTGGTGAACTCGGGACTAATATATGAATGCCATCAACGATTAAATGAGGTATGTAAAAACAACAATGTGACCCTGCAATGGATAAAGGGACACAGTGGATCCAGAGGCAACGATGCAGCAGACGAACTGGCTAGAAGAGGATCGGCTTTGGCCACTATAGGGCCGGAACCAATCATATCAATCCACTTTGGTAACGTTTGTTCACTGGTACGTAGACACTTCACTAATCAACACGCTCAGCTTTGGAAAAATCTAGTAGACTGTAGACAAGCTAGGGATGCCCTGCCTGAAATTAACAGTCGCTTAACAAAAGTTTTAATGAGACTGAACAAGCCGCAGATTAGGATAGTAACAAGTGCTATCACAGGACACGGCACCTTTAACAAACATTTATTTACTATAGGTGTTACAGATAGTCCCCTGTGCAGGGCATGTATGGGGGAGGAAGAAACGGCGGCCCACGTGCTACTGAAATGTCCGGAGGTCGCTACATACAGGGCTAAACATCTCGGCACGCCGGGATCACTCCCCGAAGTTGCATGCAACATCAAGGGCCTGTTGAGCTTCTTCGGAGAGATCTCATGGCTCGAATAATCACATTATTCCTGCCCACACGCAAAATACGCGCATAGACGTGGAGTTGCGGAAAACAGCCCGTCGTAAACTAAACTAAACTAAGTGCATTATCAGAGTCAGTGTTCAAACGTAAAGAAATAACTTTTTTTTCTAAAAAGTTAAACATTAAAAAATTAAATTTTAATTTAAAAAAAACTCAATTAGCAAATTGTATGTGGTTTTATTACCTCTAACTGACACGAGCATCGGTGAAGGGGTCCTTCACAATCCTCCTATTCTCCGGATAATAGATAATACAATTCACAAATAATTTTTTTAATGTTCTTTTTTTTTTGAAAAATTATGTTTGAATACTGACTCTGATAACGCACTTAACGGGAACCATAGGGTTTTTGTTACACGTTGTATAATCTGTAGTCTCTCTCTTGATAAAATAAATATTTATTGTTATATTTTTGTGATAATTTCAATCTGTTAAATCGTCAATCAGGTACACTGTCATTAACACACGTATTGCAGACATAAAAAAAAAATAAAGTGCCTTGTTTTAATATTAGTTTTATAAAGAAAGGAAGGCAGTGGGCTGGCCATGTAGCTCGAAGAACCGACAACCGATGGGGAAGAAATGTTCTCGAGTGGCGGCCTCGTACCGGTAGGCGAAGTGTAGGGCGACCTCACACCAGATGGAGTGACGACCTGGTAAGACATGCAGAAAGTCGAGGGATGCAGGAGGCTCAGGACCGTGCTTTCTGGCATTTCTTAGGGAAGCCTATGTTCAGCAGTGGACTTGTGGAGGGTTGTAATGATGATGATGAATCTTAACTCTTTTGTCTTTGCACCCAAAGACGTATTAAAAAAGATAGACAGGTTACACACTAACACTATTGTATTTTAAAGTGGCGCAGGTAGTACTATATCTACGTACAGTTATTTATTATGACACGTTGCGCTAACAAAAAGAGACAAATGATACGGCATACCTATCGTTAGAAAAAGATGAATTTACATCATTAGTTGCGTATTGATTGCTGCTGAGCGCTCATTGGCGCGAGTGCGTGACATACCGATATGGAAATGAACACACTAGCTAGCGTCAATATTTACACTAGCGGTTAGTGTTGAAATAATAAAACAAACAATAATGAACAAAACATCTATATTCAAAATATTAATTTAAATAGAAATAGACATTTTTCTTGTCTCTAACAGTTGCCGTGTAATTTGTGCACCACCTAAAACCGGAAGGCATTTTACCAGGAATAACTAGAAGATTTATGCACTGTAGCGAAGGTATAGTCGCGACGCGAGAGCGTGCCCGACTGAATGCGAGTCGGGCAATTACCTGACTTTCGTATTACCATTTTAGAGCGAGTATGACGTATCTATACTTTAAAAACATCTTAGTTTGCACCAACATATTTTTGAAGTAGATTTTACTCTCGTTAGCTCATTTGTCAACATTGTTTTACCAACACAAACACCATACAAAACACAACAGCTGAAGTCAAAATCTCTTAAAAACCACAATGTGACGCATCAGCTTATTATGAAGAAATTTGTAAGTAAAATACACGCCAGACTAGGTCGTACAGTCTTAAGACCTTTGCCTGCAAATTGGCGAATCGTAACAGCATTATTTCCATTGAATTTTTTCGAATCTTATTATCAAATTATTTATTAGTTATAATATTCTACTGTTTATAAAATTGAATTGTTTAGTTTTAAAAACGGAAACAGATTTTTCGTTATAAATTCTTTTCTCTTTGCCCTTTCCCGCTCTTTCCCCAGATTGTCTAGGTGAGAATTAAAAATTTACAACACTTACATTTACTTTCCTTCCCATTGTCATCTCTAGATAGAACTCCCTGTACCAAAGCTGGGAGAGATCACAGCATTTTTGTAAGGAATCTGTAAAAAAAGATAACTTATTTGAAAGATTAAATTAAGGTCTTAAGATAATCTACCGTGTGATTTCATCCCGTGGGTGTCGTGAGTGGTATAAAGATGACAACGAGCACATCGCCCGTTCAGATATCCATTAAGACTCATCATCAGTGATAAGTGGATGCTGTGGGCTGTGGCCAATAGACATCTACATGTATTCTCGACTAATAACTAAAATGCATATACGTTGTCAACCCGGCGGACTAAGATAGAATGCCTTGTTTCCAGTAAAATGGACCTCCGGTTCTCTACGCTTACAATACGAAACACAGCAGCATTAAGCTGCTATTTTTTGTTGGTTTTCTGTGGGAGCGTGGTCCTTCCCCAATCGAGCCGACCCATTCGTGCTACAACTATAATATAACTGCAACATGGCTCTACCACGTATAAAAATACTTAGAAGGAACAATGGTAGAGCCACGCGGCAGCTTTTGCTGTCGCATGGACGGGCCGGCTCGAACCGGGGTGGTACCACGACCTCACAGAAAACCAGCGTGAAGTAGAGGTTTACCTCTGCGTTTCGCTTGGTGAGTGCAGGTGGCCGGAGGCCCTTTTTACTGGAAATGAGGCATTCCATCTTAGTCCTCACGGGTGACAGCACATCTACATTTTGATTTGTAACAGAGGATAGATGTAGATGTCTATGGGCCGCAGCAACCACTTACCATCAGGTGGACTGTGTGCTCGTTTGTCACGCTTATGCTATAAAAAAAAATATTATACTCTATTTTAAAAGTTGGAAATGGATTCTAAAAATATTTCAACTACTTCCGCATTAACGAGGAAACATTCATAATTTCATGTTTTCATCAAAAACTGAAAGTTATGATGCTTTAACATAGAACGAAATTATAAAGTTTTATTGTAGAAATATAAACAGAAATAGATTTTTTAAGCGATATAGATTATAAATGATACTTTAATTTTTATATTTAATTTGTCATCACAACAAACCCAAATAAAGAAATTTAATCTTACCTGACAGATTCAGTAGGTAGCCCCAATAGAAGCTTTGGCGGTGGAATGCCTCAATCTGAGTCAACGTCGTCGCATCCAGATCCTTGCGTAGGGTCCTCCTGCCCCCGGACTTGTCCGATATGAGGGCTTCCAGCTGAGTGCGGACCATATACAGCTGTGTGGATGACGGGCCTGAGGACAGAATTATGAAATGAAATCCTCTAATTTCCAACGTAAAAAATTAAAATTCCTTTCACCAACGTAATATTTTAACGGTTCAAGATTTTGAAATTATACGTTTTATAATTGAGACAAAAAAAATTATCGACTTATAATTATGGTATTATTTTGATAAAGTGGAATTCCATCTCATTAGTCAGGGGTTATGCATATTTTCTTTTCTTTCTTTTTTTTTCTTTTTTTTTAAAACTGAACTTACATTTTTAATCCAGGATAGATGTATATAATTTATCATCAGGGTGGGGTGTATGTTCGTTTGTCACCTTACTTGTGTAAAAAAACTACAACGATTCTTGCCACTCATCAGTTCAATCCAATGTAGATCGTTCTATTTTGCGCTTACAGGTACAATGCTGCTAAGCCAAAATTAAATTAAAAGAACGGACGAACGGACAAAAACTAAATATTTGATGTAATTTTTTATAGATATGGAACATTTGTATATGTGGAACATTTCTAGATGAGGGACATTACTGGATGTGGAATATTTCTATATGCAACAGAGGATATACGCACCAACGTTACGACGTGGCACTTTGATGGTGAAGCTAGCGTCTGCGTCTTTCTTTCCACGCAGGGCGGGATCCTGTTGAGGTTCGCAGCCACGCGCCCAATCACCGCATGTCTCCCGCACCGACACTATGATACTGTGAACAAATAACACTCGTAGAATTACTAGCTTCTAGTTTTGCTAGTGGCTAGGGCTTTATTGCCTGTAGGTCAGTGTTGGCACTACTCTCTCACATATTTTGCCACCAAGCAGCAGTGCAACGAGTGATGAGTTGAAAATGTACAACAGATAATATAACTACAGACTGTGAAGCATTTTTATTTTAGTTTTCAGGGACTGTAGTGGCCACTTGCTATTGGGATACTGTGATACACATCGGGCAAGCACATACCTGCGTATAAGGTCCTTCTTATTCTTAATAGCCTTCCGCAACGGCTCGCGAAGGACCAACTGCACAAAGTCCTGAAGCTCCGCGTATATCGAACGGCGGGCCGCATCAGCGAAGACTGTCTCCATACGAGCCATGAGAACCTGGAGACCTTTGATCATCGCTATCACTTCTATCATCGCGAACTTCTCCTCCGATGTGTAGTTGTAGCGGGTCGCCTGAGAAAAGTAAAAGAATATAGAATATGTAGAACACGTGGTTTTGTACGTAGAGCCACGCTGGAGCTATATTATGATTGCTAATCGGTCGACACGACCGGGGAAAGTCCACGCTCTCACAGAAATAGCAGCTTAATGCTGCTGTGTTTCGTATGGTGAGTGAAGACAACCGGAGATCCTTTTTACTGGAAACGAGGCTTATTAACCGAGGATAGATGTGGATGTATCAAGCGGACTCTGTGCTCATGTGTCACCACTGTTCTATAAAATGAAAGAAAAAATACTATTATTGAGCCATGGCTCAGGGGCTCGCGGTAATTTACATAGCACGCGAGCAACTCGGCTACGAACCCCGCCAACAATAACGAAATTATTCCGAGATATATTTATTCCTCAGACTTTTTCGTCGAAAAGTAAAGTCAGTACAAATGCAATTTAAAGCAGCGCGGTGAACTGATTGCTCGGTAACCCTCTAATAAATTAAAAGAGTTCTGTGCCTGGGATGTATAGAGACTGTATTTTTATTTTTTATTTTAAATACAATTCGAACAAACTCACCCTCTCATACTCCTCTGCATCGGGAGGGCATCTCGCGTTAATAGTATGGTCGGTTGGATGAAGCAACTTCCACGAGCACAGTTCCGTCAGCACTGAACACCAAGAAGACAGCAGCTGCAAGCCCCGGAGACACAGTTCCGTCACCGCCTTATTCTCCGCATCTGAACCGGCCTCTTTAAATGTTGTTGTCACCTGGAAACAAATTGGTTCATTTTAATTTAACGGAACATTTCTATATTGGATAATTTTCAGATGGAACATAATATTTTAGTTCCAACACCTCAGTCCGCATGGCTATAGGTGCTGCTTAATATTCGCTAAATCGGGAAAATGAAAATAGTAAATATTAGTTTCATTTCATTCATAACGGCCTATGAAAATCCACTGCTGAACGAAGACCTCCCCCATATATTGCCTTATAAAGGGGATATATCCATCTCCAGTATCAGTTTCCATCTTTCTCTTCTTACTACACCCACGGGATGATGGGCGCGCCATCACTTCACTGCATTAAATTCATTTAATGTGTGGTCATTATGAAAAAACTTAACATCCATTTTTGTTTTAGATTCCACATATTACATGTATGTACTTACCTCATTGCTATATCTAGCGAGCTCCGATATATAGTTCTGGTGTTCCTCTCTGATCTGAGGTAGGTGGACCATTAGGTCTGCTTGAGGAGATGGCGGATTGGGGCTGGAAGACATGGGCCATCTGTAAACAAGAAACCTAATTAGACTCTTATCATGAACAACTCACATAAAAAGGTTGCGATAATAGAGGTTTCAGTTTAACTATAAACAACCAGCGTAAAATAGGAGTATAATGCCGATGTGTTTTGTATAGAGGCATTCGTAAAGTGTGACAATGCATCTGCATATTGATTCTTAATTTTTCGACTGTCAGACCGAATTATAGTTCCCGGGTGTATGCGCAAGCAAGAGTGCACTCTCTGTTCCCTCGCTCTCATAGCCCGATGGGACGGCAGTCCGACACGACCGGAGAGAGATCAGGCGCAGCACCAATGGTTTCAAGTGCTTTCCTAGGCGAGGAGGTAAGAGACCGTCAACTTCCTGACTCCGTGTTATAACTGAGAATTTTTTGACAGAAAAAGTCAATGACTGATTTTAGACTCGCTCCGGGAATTAACAATTTATTCGTAATAGAAGATAGATGTAGGTGGTGCATCTATTTACTATCCCCATTTGTCACCGTTACTTCCATAAAAAATCAAAATGGTAAGCTAAGGTCAAAAGCGATAGATGAGCAATAATCTTCATCATCGCAATCCATAACAAGTGCACACCTGGAAATATTCGGAAACTGCCACTAAGCAGTTCTGAGTCTGAGCCACTTTCATCCATAAATGACCTGCCTTTTGGATTCTCTTAAATCATCAGTAAATAAAGAGAGAAACAGAGAGAGAGAGAGAGGGAGAGACGCGAAACGCTCTCTCGACGCGCGAAGCTGAAAACGCGATTCGCGTTTTTACCTTCACACAAGTCGCATTAACCTTTTTGTTCGTATGTTCAATTTTTATAAAATAATTTTGTTATTGTGCAATATTACATTAAAGAACATAGCTCGTAAATTAATTGTAGTTTTGGGGGCGTGGCTTAGCCTGTCGTCGAAAAAGCTCACGGACAACTGAGGATGTGTCAAAATGAAAATGATGACAATTATTTCATGTCCGCAAATAATAAGACAGCTACACCGAGCACGCGCTCTAAATAACTAAATACGTAAGCGCAAAACAATATTTTTCTTAACAAAAATGCGTAATGGATTAAAAAAAATTATGCGAACGTAGATATGATTATTTACTATACTTTAAAAATAATTCCATGAACTAATTCGTAAAATTATTGCGGTGGCATGAAGAAATGTACCTAATTAGAGCTTACTTTACCATGAGAAAATTTACATATTATCGTGTTTTACTTTTATGCTATTCAAGACCATACATTTAAAAAAACATAGACCAAAAGTTTGGTTCGTATTCTATAACTGTAAAAACTATGTGAAATAGAAAAGCCCCTCAATTTTCGATGTATACCTTAAATAGATTTACAAGGATTCAAAAAGTTAAAAAGTTCTGCAACGTCGCCTTAACTACTCTATGAGGAGCACACTGAAATGATCGGGAATAAGAAAAACCACATGCACGGTATAGCTAAATTGTATTTTATTGTTTTTCGAAGTATTCTCCGTTCAACTTAATGCACTTTTCCATTCGTGCAAACCAATCATTAAAACAGTAATTCCAGTCTGAAGTTGATGTTGACAAAATGGCTGATTTGTACGCTTCCACAGCTGTTTCGGGGTCTTCAAACCGTTTACCGCGTAATAAATCTTTCATTCTAGGGAATGTAAAGAAAACGTTTGGGTTCAGGACAGGACTGTACGGAGGATGGCTCATCAGCTCAATATTTTTCTGCTTCAAAAATCATTTGTCTTCCGAGCCGCATGGGAGCTCGCATTATCGTGATGTAAGATGATGCGACGTTTCGGGTTATTTTTTCGGAGTTCGGCTATCATTTCTGGCAAACAAACCGTGATATACCCACTCAGCGATAACCGTTCTGCGTTCCTGTAAAGGAATTGTAGCAACATGCCCCTTTTTTGAGACAAACGTAGCGACTATTTTCTTTGACACGCTGCGGGAGCGAACCACTTTCGTTGGTTTGACCTCGTCTTCGAAGACCCAAACTGCTGACTGATGTTTTCTTTCAGGTTCGTATGAATAAATGCATGATTCGTCACCTGAGACGATAGTATAAAAGGCATTTGACTTCTCTCCGTTGAAGCGTTGCAGAGTATTCCGGCACCAATCTACACGAGCCATTTGCTCTTCGGGCAAATTGTGGGGAACCCAGCGGGAAACTAGCTTTCTTACACACAGCTCATTATGTAATATCAACTGAATTGCAGTCATTCCGATACTGATAACAGCCCGAATCTGCTCGTATGTCACATGACGGTCGTCTAATATAATAGTTTGCACAGCTGCGATGTTTTCAGGCGTGACCGCTGTTCTTGGTCGACCTGCAGAAGAAACAGTGCTGAGCGACACACGACCGCGTCGGAACTCTGCATACCAGCGGTATATTGTCGTTTGACTCGGTGCTTCAACATCATAAATCGAAACAAGTTCGCTGAGACATTTATCTTGAGATAAGCCGCAACGCAAATGGAAGTTGAAGCAAAGAAGAAAGCATGGCTAAATTTACTAGCAACCAAGGTTAGTAATTCTAGCAGTATGAATGATGATATTGAAAGGAAAAAGGCAGTCTTTAAACATCTAAATAAGAGAGTAAAAGAAGTAGTTGATAGGAAAAAGCAAGAAAGAACGGATAAGAATGATAGAAGAATATCGGATAACTTCCAGGCAAACATTAAAATGTTCTGGAAACTCGTAAGAACTGCCAGGGGACATTCAAAACAGCCTAGAATATAATGCTATACGAGACCAGAATGGCTGTATTCTGAATGACGAAGTTTTGAGTTTAAAAAGACGGAAGGAATACTTTGAAAGCGTGTTTATGAGTGATGAGACGTCTGAATTAAATGAAATAGAAATTCCGAAAGAAGAGGAAATAGATAGAGATATAAGTATAGATGAAATAATGAAAGCAATGAAAAGTATGAAAGCAGGTAAGGCAGCCGGATATGATAGAATATCTCTCGAAATGCTAAGGGCTGGAGAAGGAGTGGTGGCAGACCTGCTGTACACCTTGTTTAATTTATGTTGGGAACTTAAGCGCGTACCGGGAGACTGGTGCAAAGCCGTGATAGTTCCAATATATAAAGGAAAAGGATCACAGCAGGACTGTAAAAATTACCGTGGTATCAGGCTTCTTAGCATTGTGGGAAAACTGTATGCTAAGGTACTAATTGAAAGAGTTATGAAAGAAATTGATGGAAAAATTTGGGATGTGCAAGCGGGATTTAGAAAAGGAATGGGATGTACGGATCAGGTCTTTTCCATGCGCATGATCGCGGAGAAGGTTTTGGCCAAAAACCAAAAAGTTTTTTGTGCGTTCATGGACTTGGAGAAGGCTTATGACAGAGTGGATAGGGATGTGTTATGGCAAACACTGAACTCATTTGGGTTGAGCGCTGGCTTGATACAGGCATTGAAATCTCTGTATAGGGACTTTAGTGCTTGTGTCAGGATCAACGGGGCCTACTCGGACTGGTTTGGCATCTATAAAGGTGTCAGACAGGGCTGTGTGGCTTCCCCGTGGTTGTTCAACCTATTTATGGACAGTTGTTTGGTAAATTTGAAAGTAGAAGAATGCGGGTTAAGAATGGGTGAGTTAACCGTCAAATGCCTTTTGTACGCCGATGATCAAGTCATACTTGCGTCGTCGGCGGCCAAGTTGGAAATGATGGTTACATTAATGAACAGGACATTAAAAAGGGAATGAAAGAGAACGCAAGTAAGACGAAAGTTATGGTTTTTGAAAGAGAAGAAAGTAAAACGATACGTGAAATAAGAATAGAAGGGGAGTTGGTCGAGCAAGTAGATGAGTTTGTGTATTTGGGATGTGTGTTTAGCAGGGATGGTAGATATGATAAGGATATAGAACGACGAGTGAATGCAGGAAATAGAGTGAATGGGGCGCTACACCCTATTGTGAAAAGTCAGAATGTGTCCAAAAAGGCACGTATGGCAATTCAATGCTGTGTTAGTACCTACTTTAATGTATGGTAGTGAAAGTTGGGTCTGGCAGAAGAAGCACGAGAGTAGAATAAATGCTGCAGAAATGCGGTCATTAAGGAGTATGTTAGGGATGAATCTGAATGACAGAGTGAGAAATTGTTTGATAAGAGACTAGTGTGGTTTGGTCATGTAGAAAGACTTAATAAGGAAAGAGTGACAAAGCAAATTTATGTTGCAGAGGTGAACGGCAGAGTCGGGAAGGGTCGCCCTAGGCGAAAGTTTATGGACTAAATTGGCGATATATTGGAAATGGGCCAAATCAAGAGTACCTTTAACCGACGAGCGTGTATGCGTAGGTATATGGATGTGGAGGAAGCGAGAGAGGTGTGTCAGGATCGTGCCATATGGAAGTCCATAGTCTCTGCCTACCCCTCTGGGTGACAGGCGTGAGTGTATATGTTGTTGTTGTAAGCCGCGACGAAAATTGTGATAAATTATGGCACGGAAATGTTCACGCGTGAGCTCCATTTATGTTAACGACGTGTCAACTTTAAAGCAACATAGTTTTTGTTTTTAAACATTTTTCTTAATTGTTTGATTGTTATTAAGATTCTAAGAGGCCAGTATTCAAATTCTAAAAATGGTTTTATTGTAACTCAATCCGAAATATTCTATTCCCGATCATTTCAGTGTGCCCCTCCGTATCTGTAGTATAATCAAGTGAAATGAAATGGAATGAGATAAGTATCTTTATTTTTTCCACGTAAGACACTAAGCTATTTGCATCTAGCTTACACTTATGCATTTAGTATGTATAACAAACTGTATAACTTACTTGCTGGGGTCATAGTGCTTGGATCTCTTGATATAATTGAATGGAGCAATTTGCATATCACCAAAAAGCGGCACCACCTCGAGATTCTGAAAAGAAAACAGGTTTTCGCATAAGTATGTGAGTGGTAGTGTAATCGTGTGCATGGTTTGAATATATTGTGTGCATATTGACTTGAAATTGTATAATAATGAATATTGTTCAGGAAGACTAAGGTGGAATGCCTCGTTTCCAGTAAAAAGGGTCTCTGGTTCTCTACACTCACCATACGAAACACAGCAGCGTTCAGCTGCTATTTTACACTGTTATTCTGCGAAAGCGCGGCCCTTCCCCGGTCGAGCCGACGCATTCGTCTTACAACCATAATATAGCTGCAACATGGCTCTACCACGTATAGTTATAGGTGTTTGTGGGCCATAGCGTCTTACTTCCCGCCAGGCGGACTATGTGCTTGTTCGTCACCCTTACTAATATAAATAAAAAAAAACATAAAAAGAAAGGAATATCGTATTATCTGGATAGCTCACCTTAAAGATCCTGTCGATTCGGTCCAGGCGAATCTTCTTTTTCTGGTCCAGTCGGTTGATGTTGCACAGATCGGAGTCCATCAAGAATAGACCAAAACCCATGACCTAGAAAATTTATGAAACATATTTTATAGTATTTTTTTTCATTTATTTACATTTTAAGGGAAACATACAACCTATAGTGAAACTAGCAATGATAAATTAAGTTTTACAATATTTTTTGTAACTATTATATTTAAGGTGAAAGATATATATTAATTCACAATATTTGCATTTTGCATTACAGTTTTTTTATAGGATAGTGTGACAAACGAGCACACATTCCAACTGATGGTAAGTGGTTGCTGTGACCCATAGACATCTACATCTATCTTTGTTTGCGAATTAAAATGCAGATGCGTTGTCAGCCGTGAGGACTAAGATGAAAAGAATGCCTCGTTTCCAGTAAAAAAGGATCTCAAATCGTCGCTATTATATGCTTGTAGTAGCGGTGTAAGAACATCCACTACGTCATATCATCCCGTGGGTATCGTGATGGGCGACAGAGGGAAACTGAAACAGGAGATGGGCAACAGCATCTTCCTGATCATTCATCATCATTACAGCCCTTCACAAGTCCACTGCTGAACATAGGCCTCCCCCAAAGAATGCCACAAAGCACGGTCCTGATCTTCCTGATAACTACTAAAAATAAAAAACTGCGGTTGCCAACCAGCCTGCAAAATCCCTACGAGGCAATCTATGGGGGGAGGCCTATGTTCAGCAGTGGACTTTTCTACGTTGTATTAATAATGTCTTCTAGACCGAGTTAAGGTCACGGCGGCCAGCCTTAACGAAGACTAGCCCTCTGCGAGAGGATTGTAGTGCCACTCTCTATTCCATCACTCTCATAGTGCGATGGGACGGCAAGCCGACACGACCGGAGAGATCAGGCGCAGGACTTACGGCTTTACGTGCCTTCCGAGGCATGGGGGTGAGACACCGCCAACTTCCTGACTCCGGGCAGCTACTGAGAAAATCTTGATGGAAAAGCTCAATAACCGACTTTTTTGGTTCGAACAGGGATTCGAACCCGGAACCTTATGATCAGCAGGCGCACTATTACAATTATTGAACCACAAACTAAGTATAAAACTACACACAATGAAATTGGTAACATTCATTTTATTTAATGTATAGTATTTTAGATTTAAACATTAACATGCGTTTATTGACATCAATACACTCACAAGGTAATATATTTAGAAGTGAACAGAAAACATACAAGATAAGGGAGACATTGATAAAAACAAATGTCAACAAGGAAACTACTTTCCATGAGTTATGTGATACCAAAAAAATTCGGACTCAGCGTATACTACAGCAGATACTGCAGTAGCGATGATTTTCAGCGGCGCCCCGACAAATATTGGCATTAGAATTGCGCCTGCATCGTTATCTTCAACTTTAACTTTCCATTTAAAAATAACGAATCGACAATTCACTCGAAGTATACATTATCAAGTACATGATATATACATAAATCAAAAACACATATGCTTACATACATGCATATATACATAGACACATATATACATACATTTTATGTAAAAATTTTGTCATAAGGACGAAAATTGAATAATTTGAATTTATACATAACATTCAGTTCAGACATACCTTCACCAGCATATGTTTTTCCGATGGGGTCAGGTACATCTTCGTCTCGTACATGTGAACGCAAATGTTCACCACGTCGGCTAACAGGTCTTCGTAGCCTGAAAATCGAATTTTGTACAACGCCATCTTTAATATATTGATATTGCAAGATGAAGGGTATATAATAACAAATAACATTTTTTTTTATAGAATAAGACTGACAAACTAGCACACGTTGAAGAACCACATTCTCAGAGAATACCAGCATGAAATAGCAGCTTTTTTTATAGGTTAAGGGTGACAAACGAGCACACAGTCCACCTGATGGTAAGTTGATGCTGTGGCTCATAGACATCTACATCTATCTCGATTAAGAACCAAAATGCAGATGCATTATAATTCCTAAGGACTAAGATGTAATGTCCCATTGCCAGTTAAACTTGGTTCTCTACACTCACCATACGAAACACAGCAGCATTAAGCTTTTTACGTGGTAGAGTCACGCTGCAGCTATATTATGGTTGTAGCACGAATGGGTCAGCTCGACCGGGGAAGGACCACGCTCTCACAGAAATCCAGCGTAAAATAGCAGCTTAACATTGCTATGTTTCGTATGGTGAGTGTAGAGAACCGGAGACGCTTTTTACTGGAAATGAGGCATTCCATCTTAGTCCCCACGGGTGACAACGCATCTGCATTTTGTTTTATGTAGATATCTATGGGCCGCAGCAACCACTTACCATCAGGTGGACTGTGTGCTCGTTTGTCAGTGTTAACCTATAAAAAAAAGCTGCTATTTCACGCTGGTATTCTGTGAGAATGTGGTTCTTCAACAGTCGAACCGACCCATTCGAGCTACAACCATAATATAGCTGCAGCGTGGCTCTACCACGTAATACCACGAAAGTAACATAACAACAAGTTCAATATTCCACCTAATGGTAAAACACGGAAGGCTACACATGTAATATATGTTATCACACCTGAGGACTAAGACGAAACGCCTCACAGTCTGTAATAATACTGTTGCGCGCCACTATTAATGTCTTGTACATGGCAACACTAGTTACCACTAGCGCCCTCTAGTGTCGAGTAGCAGAACTATTAGAGTCAAGATCCTTCTAGAAATTTCGGGACCGATATGTACTCGAACATTCTAGATGTTTCTACAGTAGAAGGTTCTGGAAACTATCTGAGGCCCAATATAAGGACGGTATAGACCACGACCGAGTGAGTATTGAATTGGCAATATAAGTGAATATTTCGAAGCAAAATAACTGCGAACTAAAGTGATCAGTAGTACAATTGCGTTTTATTATTAGTGTGATTTTAAGTTGTAATTAGTGTTTTATAATTAAAGTGTCAATTTTGGTAACTTAATCGGCAGTTTTTAATTATCTCAAACCCCAAGCTCGTAACAATACTAACTCACTTATTCTTTACACAGGAGTTTTGTTTTCTTCCTCGCACTACTAATTTATGGAATAATTTGCTATCGGCAATTTATCCGGACCGATACGACTTAGGGACTTTCAAGAAAAGAGCCTACTCCTTTTTAAAAGGCCGGCAACTCATCTGCAATTCCCCTGGTGTTGCGGTTGTTCATGGGCGGCGGTAGTCACTTACCATCAGGTGAACAGCATGCTCGTTTGCCCTCGCTTCTAGCAGATGAGATAAGAGAGTAGTACTAACCCAGATGGACGACTTATAGACAGAAATGAAGTTTAATCCTATATTTAGTAACTGCATATCATCATCATTATCGTTACAGCCTTTTACAAGTCCACAGATAAACATAGGCATTTGTGTATTTTTGGCATTCCTTGGGAGGAGGTCTGTCTTCAGCAGTAACTACATATATTTTATAATATTTAAGAGGGAACAAGTTATTTAGACAAGATTGTTGTTATCTATATGTAGGCACGTTTATAAAATACTGGCTGGATCGAGAGTAAAGTTTTTACTCTAACTTTTAGCGTTTTTACTAAAGCGTCAATCTTTGGTAAAGTGACAACCGTTGTTGTTTACAGGATTTTTGGAGAAAAACGTCACGGGTTTCATCGTACCACATATTTGTGAGGAATTGCTAACGATCTGCTTATATTTTCTTGTATTGTATGGTGTAACGCACGCATATATATTTGCGCCATTCATCATGAGTGCAGGATGATCCTCTTTCGCCCATATATATACACATAAAATATTGAATTGTCTGTCTGTAATATCGGAAAAACTCTAAACTATTTTTTAACGATTTATAAGAATAAAACTAATTTTACGGATTTTATCACATTTAAACTTTTTTAGTTACATACGTTTCGAGCATTTTACAGCACTGGATAGTCACGGGGGAGTGGGCAGACTATGGTGTTTTACGCCCTGATGGCATAGTTAACAAATGCTACCTTCAACTTTTTATTATTAATTTCGATCCGATCTACGCAGAACGATCTTACAGTATCTTAAAGTTTTGCAGTAGTATGCTTAGGTTTAGATTTAATTTTGTTAAATATGGGATCCCAAGTAGATGATAGCATCCGTCCATTTTTTTTTATAGGATAACTTTGACAAACGAGCACACAGTCCACCTGATGGTAAGTGGTTGGCCCATAGACATCTACATCTATCTTCGATTAAGAATCAAAATGCAGATGCGTTGTCACCCGTGAGGACTAAGATGGAATGCCTCGCTTCCAGTAAAAAGGGTCTCCGGTTCTCTGTACTCACCATACGAAACACAGCAGCATTAAGCTGCTATTTTACGTTGGTATTCTGTGAGAGCGTGGTCCTTCCCCGGTCGAGCCGACCCATTCGTGCTGCAACCACAATATAGCTGCAGCATGGCTCTACCACGTATAAATCCATCCATCTTCTTTATTAAAATTAGGATATACTTTTAATTTCAATAACCTCGAAAAACATCCTTGGCAGGAATTGTAGTTAAAATTAAAGATGATCAAATCCATAATATTAGTTTTATTCCATGTAAAATATTTGTCTATCTGTCTGTCTGTTTGTCCGTCTGTCCTGACTAATCTTCGAATTGGCTGAATCGATTTATGAAACTTCACGAACAGTTACAAAGTAATGCCAGGAGTGATCTAGAATATATCTTATTCGAATTTTGTTTTTTCAATTGAAAACTTGATAAAATAAATGGTAATTGATGATTATTTAAAAAGAAATTAAATGACGTCACATTAACAGATAGTATATCATAATTATAGTAAAGTATACTCACCATTGATCTTCTCAAGCGCGTCCTTCACAGTGTCCCGAATTTTGTTCTGTGTCGCGAGGAACATCGATAAGTTCTGTGACTCTTGGAGGCTCTGACTGTCAGCCATCACTTTCAGGAACTGAGCCGCCCTGAATGAAGAAAAATAACCTTTTTGTAGAAATAAGTTGCAAGTAAGAATATCCATTGCCCCATATCATCCCGTGGGTGTCGTAAGAGGAGACATAGGGACACAAATCAGGGGATGAACAGCAGCGTCTTCCTAATAATGACTAAAAATAAAAACGTGCGTTTACCAACCCACTTGCCGAGCATGGCAACAATGACTGTTACGGCCAACAGCTGCCCTGCCTCAACAGGAGTTGGATCCTTCGCGGCCCATAGACGAAGGAGCCACGGGCAGATGCAGGTCGGGCGTTCCTACGCCGAGGGTCAAAGGTTTCTGATGAACACACGAGGGGAAAGGTCACGAGAATAAATGCACTTACCTGCCCCAGGAGCACAGACGGTTCTCCTCGACCGGCCCGGCTGATGAAAGTTGTGCTTGGTGTGTTGTGAGTGTAGGTGTAATTGTGTGTGCTGGTATGTTGACGGGAACCGATCTGGATGACTCGACGACGTCCGGGAGAAGGCACGCGCTGGTATCCCCGGAACTTCACCCTTCTGGAGGCACTCGTAAGGGGTTGTCACCAAATGGGACGGCTACTCTGGTAGTTCTTCAGATGTAAATCACTTTGATAGTTGCGCGCGAATTTCACCGAGTTAGTACGTTCTAATAACGATACCGTTATTGCAACGATTTACGCGGATTGTTCCTTTAGCAAGTTTAGGCGCGAAAAAATACGTCCGTATAGTTCGCAAGAAAAATCCTACTACCTCGCGAGAAGAGCCACGCCGACCCATCCGGCGGCCGAGGGGGCGGGGGAGAGGGAAGGTGCCCTTGATATCGAGGCCAAAAGCGCGCGTTACATACTGCGTTTTTATTGCAAATTTTCCTGCCTAGACAACCCCCCGCCCCGGACATAAGGCATTAAGTCCGCGAGTAGATTGGCAAACGGGACAAGGTCGCGACGGCCCGTTGCAAGACCGAATCTCCGACCAAAACCTCGGCCACTCTAGGCACCCCATCCGTTCCATACGACAATTTAACAATGCGCCCACGGCGCCAATACAAAGGTAGCGCGTTTGGTTCTTTAATCAACACGAGGTCTCCCACCCGAGGAGGCTCCGTCTTGTCAGACCACTTAAAGCGCTGCTGCAAAAGATGTAGGTACTCCAGAGACCATCGGTGCCAAAAGCGTTGAGTCATCTGTTGCAGCAGGGCAAACCTGCTAAGCCGTGAAGCACTCGTTTCCCTGAAGGGATACTCGGGCAGAGCGTTAAGAGGCTGGCCAATCAGGAAGTGTCCCGGGGTTAGAACCTCCAAATCATTCGGGTCAGAGGAGAGGGGGCAGAGGGGCCGAGAGTTGAGTACCGCCTCAATTTTACAGAATACAGTGGCGAGCTCCTCAAACGTCAAAATGGCTTCACCAATAACGCGACGGAGATGCGTTTTGGCAACCTTAACCACCGCCTCGAAAATACCGCCCCAGTGGGGACACGCCGGAGGGTCGAATTTCCACTGGATGCCCCTTTTCGACATAGCATTTCCTAAATAAGTCCGGTGGCTGGACAGAAATTCGACAACCTCCTTGAGATACCTATCCGTGCCCTTATAATTCGTCCCGCAGTCAGACCGGATCAAGTCCGGCAAGCCGCGCCGCGACACGAAACGGCCAAGCGTGGCCAAGAAGGCTTCCGTGCTGAGGGCGCTCACCAGTTCCAAGTGAACGGCTTTAGTGGAGAGGCACACGAAGACGCAAAGATAGGCCTTACATGAACGCGCGTTACGAAGGTTAGAGGACTTGACGAGGAAGGGGCCAGCGAAGTCTGTTCCGACCCCAGCGAATGGTCGGATGGCCCTGACGCGGTCGGGCGGCAAGTCACCCATAAGAGGCTGCGATATGGGGGCCTTCAGTTTATAACAGGGGATGCACTTAAAGATGACGCTCCGAATGGTGCGACGACCAGACAAAATCCAAAACTCCCGCTGCAAAATAGCCGACAGGGCGTTACACCCAGCGTGGGCATTCCTAACATGGTGGTGGGTTACCAGCAACCGGACAAGGGCGCCGTCCTTAGGGAGCAGCAACGGGTGTCGAGCCCCGCACGGCAGTTGAGAGTTTTTCAAACGTCCGCCCACGCGCAGCATCCCAGCGTCGTCCAGAAAGAGGTTCAGGCGGGCCAGAGCGCCCTTGATAACGGAGCCACGCTTCAAGTGTTCGATAGCGGGCTCAAAATGCTCCGTCTGGACCATACGGATCCAATGCATCAGTGCTTCCCGACGCTCGCTAGGGGACAAAACGCAATCAGAGAGTCGGTTGGACGGATCTCTCGAATTGTGGACAAAGCGGCGCAGCCAAGCAGTCACTCCTAAGAGCTTATCGAGAGAGCTGTACCGTTCCAGAAGGGAGAGATCCCGAGTGGGCTTATCCTTGCCCACTCCTACTCGGGCCCGTAGGCCCGGCAACTCAGTAGGTTCGGAGTAATTACCCTGGGGCCAGAAGGATTGAGGATCGGATAACCAACCGGGACCCCACCACAATGAGTGGGCAACCAGCGCGGGGGCCTCACAGCCGCGGGAAGCGCAGTCGGCGGGATTCAACTCCCCGGGGACATGTCTCCAGTGGAGAGAAGTCTCAGAACTCTGGATTTGAGACACGCGGTTCGCCACAAAGACCTCAAGATTGTGAGGTGCGGCTCGGAGCCAACAAAGTACTATCTCACTGTCCGACCATGCGTAGACGTCCGTAATGTCGATTACAGGCTTCAAGGACGAGTGAACGTGGTTGAGGAGCCGCGTGAGAAGAGCGGCTCCGGACAGTTCCAATTTAGGGATAGTTAAACGGGATCTAATGGGAGCAACCTTGCTTTTGGCGAGTACGAGATGAACTGCAGTATGCCCAGAGGAACTCACAGTCCGCAAATATACGACAGCAGCATAGCCCTTCTCAGAGGCGTCGCAAAACCCATGTAGGGTAACCCTGCATTTCCCTGGAGGTAGGAAGCACCTTGGCATGGAAACCCGGTTGATGTCCGGAAGGGAGGAGAGCATGGAGAGCCACTCTCGCAAGAGGACCCCGCTAATAGGCTCGTCCCAACCCAACCCGGACATCCAGAGCTTTTGAAGAAAGCACTTAGCCAAAAAGATGACCGGGGTGATCCATCCATTCGGGTCGAAGGTGCGAGCTACTGTAGACAGCACGGAGCGCTTGGTCCATGCTTTGGGAGGTGGGTCAAGTTTTACTCTATACGTGAAGGTGTCCTGAACAGGCTGATATTGAATGCCCAGCACAGTCAGCAAATTGGGATTCTCAGGGTGCTCGAACAGATGAGGGTCTTGTTGATCCTCTCCTGGGAGGTCCCTCAAAATGTGTGGGGAGTTCGACAGCCACTTGCGCAACTCATAGCCTCCAGACTTCAGGATGGCAATTAATTCGTCTCGCAAGACCAGAGCCTCCTCGACGGTGGAAGCGCCCGTACAAATGTCGTCCATGTAGACCGAAGTCTCTAAGATAGAAGCTCCCCGAGCGTATCTCAGGCGCTCTCTCTCAGCGAGTTCAAGGAGGGTTCGCATGGCGATATACGGGCTGGACCGGAGTCCATAAGTGGTGGTGTTCAACTCAAATACCTGTATGGGATCGCTGGGCTTCTCGCGCCACAATATCAGCTGATATCGGCGGTCATCACGATGTACCACCGATTGGCGAAACATCATCCGAATGTCCGCGACAAAAACCACTTGGTGTCGACGGAATTGGGTCAGGATGTCGGATATGTCCTTGATCAGTTTAGGACCCGAGTGAAGACACTGATTCAGGGACACACCGTTTGATGTGGGGGCGGAACCGTCAAAGACTACCCGAATCTTACTCTCAGGGGTCCTCAAGACCGCATGGTGAGGGAGGAAGTAGTGCTCATGTGAACGCCATTCGAAGTTGGACGGTGACATATGACCCAGCTCCTGATACTCGCGCATGAACTTGACATATTTGTCGCGAAAGGCTGGGTCACGCCGCATGCGGCGCTCCATGGAAAGCAACCTCTTCTCGGCCAGAGCACGGGATTGACCCAAAGAGGGGCGGGAGTCCAGAAAGGGTAAGCGAGTGACGAAACGACCGTCAACCCGCCGGCCGGTATTGTTCTGGTAGAACAACTCACACTCACGGTCCAGAGGGTCGACTCGAGCTGCATGGGGTGGTTCCTCAATGTCCCAGAATCGCTGGACAGCGTCCGATAGGGACACGCCCACGACGGAGAGAGGGTCGGCCATCAGAGAGGGAGGAGACCACATAACCGGTCCAAAAAAGCTGTGCCCAAATATCGTGGAAATGGCTGACAGGCCATTGGGCTGCAGAGCTCGTATCTCACCTAACAAGAGGGCACCCAGCGTGTCGGCCCCCAGTAACAAATCTATCGGCCCCGGTTGGGCCCACCGAGGGTCTGCCGGTCTCAAAGCCGACGCACAGCGCACAGCGCTGTCATTTATACGAACGTTAGGGAGGAACCCTACAATGTCGTCGAGGACATTTACCTTGACTAAAATACGAAGGTGTTCGCTGTCAGGGCTGAACACCAACTCCGATTGTCCCCTAGGAGCAGGAGGCTCGGCACCTCCGATACCTACCATCGGACGTGATTCAGAGCTCCAGGGGAGCCCCAGTCTTCCCACCAACCGAGTAGAGGCCACACTACGCTGGGAACCCGAGTCCAATAGAGCTCGAACCGTTAAGTGGTCGCCGCTCGGGTTGTAAACCTTCACTGAGGCTGTCGGCAATAGAACAGTTTGACAGGTGGACTGCTGACGACTTATAGGCTCAGTGGAGGCGGCCATGGCGGGAGCTAGGGCGGCAGCCTCCTATCTGGAGCTGCCTCTGTTAGGCCGGCACCCGAACCGGGGGGCCCGAGCGCGGCACTCCGACGGCGTCTCGATGACCCCCGACTGGAATTCCCCGAACGGGCCGACCGAGGGAAACTCGGGGATCCTCGGCTCCAAGGCTCGGGGCCGATACGCAGTCTCCGGAACCCGGTAGTACCGGCACCGGCCAAAGGGGGGCGGGCGGCGTTCCAGTCGCGGCCACTCAGCCAACGGGGGTGAGAAAGGTCTAGCTGACCGCTGAGTGGCCGCGAATCCACTATCAACTCGGGGAGGGGGGGTGAAGACCCCCCCGCCCCTGGGGGAACGACTCCCCGACCGATCGGGGGAGGGGCTCCCTTCAGAAGGAGGGGCGCTGCGGTCCGCCGGTGAGCGCCGAGCGTCGCCCGACAGTGGGCGTGGCTGGGCGCCCCCGCCCGTGGGAGTCGGGGGGCTGGCAGGGCCCTGCGAGGACGAGCCGCGCGCACCCAGGCACAAGAGGACGTTGTGGTTGCCCTGGCAGTGCGTGCAGGGCCGCTGGTGCGGGCAGTCTCGTTGTAAATGCCTCTCCAGGCACGAGAAGCACCAGCGGCGCTCCCTGGCGATGGTTCGCCTCGCCTTAGCCGGCTTGCGCAACAACTTCGGGCACGACGCCGGCCGGTGGTCGGATGCTCGACAATAGGAGCAGGGAGGCGCCTCCCGGGCCGCTAGGCCACTATAGGAGGGTACGGGGGGGCGCCCTCCCGCGGGGGCTCCACTCGGCCTCAGGGGGGTGGGCGCCGCCTTGGCCGGCTGACTCCGCCTTTCCCTGGGCACCGCTCGGGAGGAGGCCGGGGGGCCCTCGACGGCGCCTGCTGCGTTCTCCAGCAGCCTGCACTGCTCTTCCAGGAACCGCAGCAGGTCCCTAAAGGGGGGCATATAAGAGGCGCCATCCCCTCCGAACCTCTCCTCAAAATGGAGCCGAAGGTCGAGGGGCAGGCGGGACAGCACTATATGAAGGAGCAGAAAAGACCACTCGTCCACAGGTAAATCCAGCCGCCGCAACGAGTTGCACGCTACGACGACTGGATTCACTATGTCTTCACGTAGTCTAGTCCGGTCCTTCAGCAGCGGGAGGTTCAGCAGCCTCCGAACATGATCGTCCGCAATCCGCCGGACGTTGGCGTACCTTCCAGCGAGGAGGTCCCTGGCGTTTTGGTAGGCGTCGTCCGACAACTTAAGGTGGCCGACGACGCTCAGGGCCTCCCCCTCTAGTGAAGCCAGGAGGTACCCCATTTTTTGGCAGGGGGTCAGGTCCCTCCGGGCGTCCACCAGGCTGTCAAACAGGCCGACGAAGGTCATCCACTCCGAGAGGACCCCGGAGAACCTTGGCAGGTCCAGCGTCGGAAGTCGTCCTAGCAGCTCTGGCTGAGCAGACGGCTTCCGCGGGGACTCGAGAAGGCTACTCAGCCGAGCTTCGCGCTCCCTCTCCGCATCCTTGGCCCCCGCCTCGATCAGGTCGTCCGTCAGCGCGAGGAACTGCTCGTAGTCCGCGCGGCAAGATTCCAGGACTCCCTTTTCCACCTCCAAGTCCTCGAGCTCAGAGTAAGCCTCCTCCACGGCCGCCCTTCGAGCATCGACCTGCTCAAGCCTCTTCCTCAAATTGTAGACCCTGTCCGGTCGGCCTATCAACGCGTGTGCGCTGGTAGCCCAGCGCAGCTCAGTCCGCAGGCAACGGATTAGCATCTTGGGCGAGGACATCACTACTAAATTCAAATTACGACGCGGCTCGAGCACAATTACAACAATAACAAATAAAAATACAAAAAAATTAACAGCTAACTAATGCAGTTCCTATCAAATCGAGTTGGATAGAATGTACACAAATAAGAACAGCTATTATTAAATCAAACACAAGTTAGTACAAAGGAAAAGGTAAATCAAATCAACAATAACAAATACTAGTACGATCAAATCAGGTTCATTTAAATTACGTAAATACAAATTACCACTCTTTAGTTCAAATACAATTTACAATACGAAAGATATGTAACGAAGATACACATCAACAAAAATGCCTTGCTCGGAAATCAACCCTTCGATAAGTAACACACTACCATCCGACAACGACAATTAACCGATTACGTAAAAATAACCATCTACCTACATGACGCAATCTCCCGCTTGCGCGCGAACCGGGTGTGACCTTTCAATTTTACCCGCTAACAGTGAAGCAAGCTAACAAAGGAAGGAATTTTATTATTACGTATAATAATAAAAAGGTATTTTACGTATTACGGACGGGCGTGATTGTAGCCACAAATCCACCCAACGCTCCTGCCACCAAATTATTTAATTTTTATCAAATACTATGGTCGGTGGATCGACCGGGAATCGATCCCAGCACCGCGTTCTGCTACCAAATGTTACGGCCAACAGCTGCCCTGCCTCAACAGGAGTTGGATCCTTCGCGGCCCATAGACGAAGGAGCCACGGGCAGATGCAGGTCGGGCGTTCCTACGCCGAGGGTCAAAGGTTTCTGATGAACACACGAGGGGAAAGGTCACGAGAATAAATGCACTTACCTGCCCCAGGAGCACAGACGGTTCTCCTCGACCGGCCCGGCTGATGAAAGTTGTGCTTGGTGTGTTGTGAGTGTAGGTGTAATTGTGTGTGCTGGTATGTTGACGGGAACCGATCTGGATGACTCGACGACGTCCGGGAGAAGGCACGCGCTGGTATCCCCGGAACTTCACCCTTCTGGAGGCACTCGTAAGGGGTTGTCACCAAATGGGACGGCTACTCTGGTAGTTCTTCAGATGTAAATCACTTTGATAGTTGCGCGCGAATTTCACCGAGTTAGTACGTTCTAATAACGATACCGTTATTGCAACGATTTACGCGGATTGTTCCTTTAGCAAGTTTAGGCGCGAAAAAATACGTCCGTATAGTTCGCAAAAAAAATCCTACTACCTCGCGAGAAGAGCCACGCCGACCCATCCGGCGGCCGAGGGGGCGGGGGAGAGGGAAGGTGCCCTTGATATCGAGGCCAAAAGCGCGCGTTACATACTGCGTTTTTATTGCAAATTTTCCTGCCTAGACAATGACAAATAAAATAAAATAGGGCTAATAATGACTAAAAATATAAACGTGCGTTTACCAACTCACTTGCCGAGCATGGCAACTATGACAAATAAAATAAAATAGGGCTAATAATGACTAAAAATAAAAACGTGCGTTTACCAACCCACTTGCCGAGCATGGCAACTATGACAAATAAAATAAAATAGGGCTAATAATGACTAAAAATAAAAACGTGCGTTTACCAACCCACTAGCCAAGCATGGCAACTATAATAAATAAAATAAAATAGGGCTAATAATGACTAAAAATAAAAACGTGCGTTTACCAACCCACTTGCTGAGCATGGCAACTATTACAAATAAAATAAACTAGGGCTAATAATGACTAAAAATATAAACGTGCGTTTACAACCCACTTGCCAAGCATGGCAACTATGACAAATAAAATAAAATAGGGCTAATAATGACTAAAAATAAAAACGTGCGTTTACCAACCCACTTGCCGAGCATGGCAACTATGACAAATAAAATAAAATTGAACTAATAATGACTAAAAATAAAAATGTGCGTTTACCAATCCACTTGCCGAGCATGGCAACTATGACAAATAAAATGAAATAGGGCTAATAATGACTAAAAATATAAACGTGCGGTTGCCAATCCGCTTGCCAAGCATGGCAACTATGGCAAATAAAATAAAATCTATAGGGAAGGCCTATGTTCAGCAGTGGAATTTAATACGCTGTAACGGTAAGTGTACTTTCTTGTGGAATCAACTACGACTAATAATTGTTCCGGACTTAGGGGCCTTTAAGAAAAAAGCCCACTCTTTTTTAAAAGACCGACAACGCAGCTGCAGCAGTTGTTCATGGGCGGTGGTAGTCACTTACCATCAGGTGAACCGAATGCTCGTTTGCAACTTCTTCTACAATACAAACAAGGATACATCCACCTGCCACCTGAGGGTATGTGGATAATGTGACCCATAGCCACCAACATCTATTGCTAGGCTTTGCCATGCTTGACAACGCTGGCACCCTTTCAAATAATCATATCTTAATCTTGATCATGTCTATCCATACCATCTCTAGCCACCCATACTCTACCTATTGATATAATATATTCTGCAGTCCTCATTCATGCATACATTTATTACAGACTATAGAAAGTCCACTGCTAAACATAGACCTGCCCAATGAGGGCTAATAATTTTCTGCTCACCAGATGTCGCTAGTTGACACCTTGGTAAAATTTTTAGTTACCCAATGTCATTTAATTGAGTAGTTAGTTTTTACTAAAAGTTTATCAGTTTCTAGAGTATTATATTAATACACAAAACAATGCTCAGTGGTTTTTATAACATTTTTTTGTAAATATACCTATTTACAAAAAAATTTAGTTATAAAATTATCAGTTAGTCTGTACACTTTATTGTCTTCACATTTCAGAAAAAAAAGATACAATGAAATGAAATAAATCTTTTTGAATAAGTTTCCATTTATCCCCAGGATGATCCCTATTGCTGGTTGTTATCAGACTCATAGACGTTTAAAAGATATTTATTTTTTTCATTAAAATTTCATTTAATTTTTTTTAATGCTCATGAGGAGTGCACTTTTGTATTGTCCAAATATTTTAATATTAAACTATTAACAGAAAACTCTGTTGCGTATTTCCTATTTCAGATTCCTCATTTTCAGAAGAGAGGTGGGAATAAGACAATCGTGTTCTCTTTTCTCTTAACATGTCCGATAAAAATCGTATCAACTCTATTAACAACTCACCTTCGGTAAGTAGAGTAGTCGTTCTTGACAGAGCTCTTCATGTTCTTCAGCTCGTCGAGCACAGCGAACATGTTCACGAACTTGCCCAGTGTCAGCAGATACGCCTCTGACACAAAGTCCCGTCTCTTCTCAGCGTGACAAAGGCGGCGCACTTCACCGCAAAAGCGTTCTATCGCTTTACGCTGTGTAAAATTTATTATATTTATATACGTAATTCTTCTGTATGTGTGTTTTTCACTGAACTCCTAAACGGCAGGACCGATTTTGAAAAAATGTTGTGTGTGCGATTAAGTTAATTCGAGAATGTTTAAGATTCACAATTGGACCAGGTAGGTGGCGCTGTTGAGATCCAGAAATAACCGGTGCGAAGCCTGGTCGCATCGCTAGTTTATAAATATTTTTTCTGTAAGTGTGTCCTCAGTCGAGCCGATCTATTCGTGCTACAACCATAAAATAGCTGCAGTATCACTCTACCACATTAAATATAACGTAAAAATAATATAATATATTAAATATATTGGGTATGTTCCGATATACACTGCGAGTACTGATCAGTGCTGGTGAAAAATTCGTTCCGTTATGGACTGTCAGTTTACTGCCGCAGTACCCTAGGGAAATATATGACGTCATAAATCGCCGCCATTTTTGTACTATCAGCACTGGCGCTTTCGAGGTAAGGTGCTCTCAGTAATATTTTCCTGCATTTCCTAGAATTTCAGATTTTCTAATGTTGAGTTAACATAAAAGAAACCAACTCTATATACAAGATTATGGGTGCAAACATAAAAACACTCACTTGTTCCCACCTACCCAAAGAGATGGAAACTCACCTGAAAGTACATGAACTGCAGCAACTTTTCGACTTCTGGAGCCAACACCTGTACAGTGCGCTCGTATATATGCACTCTGTCCGGTTGTTCGTTGGAACGGGGCTGGGGAATCGCTCTGCTGCAGCATCTCCAGGTGTAAAGCATTACCGCGTGAGCATTGCCCTCCTCTAGAAGTTCATTCTGAAAAATTAAATTAAAATGACTTGTTAGCATTTTTTACATCAGTTGAGAGGAAATGGCAGCCAACGTGTTGCTGTCGTATCCAGAGGTTGCCGCATACAATACTAAACATCGAAGCTCACTCCTTGAAGTTGTCGGTGACATCAAGGGACTACTGAACTTCTTTGAGAGGACTGCTGAACTTCCTCGAGATTTTATGGCTCGAATAATCACAATATTCCCGCCCACGAGCAAAATACGAGCTTAGACGTGGAATTGTAGGAAATAGCCAATCGTAAAATATAAACCATTCAGACGGATACCGTTATCAATTCAATGTCCTAAGAAACATTAGCTAAATTTGTCAACATAGATAAAGAAAGGGCTGGTTTGATTATTTAACATTTTCCTCATTTTTTGACACACCATTTTCTAGGAATCCTATCTTGCCTACTCCATCTGGTTAGGTACTACCATTTTACTTATTTCTGCCGCTATAATCATCTCCTTTTCGACATACATAATTTACCTAGACTGCCTCCCAAGCGTGTGATGTATACAAACCACGTGTCTCTCGGCCAATGCCCAGCAGTGAAACTTTTATGGGATGATGAAGAAAAATAAATTATTTTAGGAAATAAATATTAGACTATATCATCAAAAATAAATAAAATTGAAGTGTCTGTTTGTAATGTCAAAATAACAGGTTTTTACTAAATGCATATGAAAGTGTATATGGTATGGTACTTATAACAAAAACACAATTTTTAAAATATTTGTCTGTCTGTTTGTTCCGGCTAATCTTCGAAACGGCTGTACCGATTTGAACTACTTATATTTTAGAAAAAGAATTATGGTTCCGCGCAATATAACTAAAACCCTAAACTATACGCGGGCGAAGTCGCGAGGAACAGCTAGTCTAAAATAAATAAAATTGAAGTGTCTGTTTGTAATGTCAAAATAACAGTTTTTACTAAATGCATATGAAAATATATCTGGTACTTATAACAAAAACACAATTTTTAAAATTTTTGTCTGTCTGTTTGTTCCGGCTAATCTCCGAATCGGCTGGACCGATTTTGACGGGACTTTCACTGGCAGACAGCTGATGTTATAAGGAGTAACTTAGGCTACTTTTATTTTAGAAAATATTTTTTTTTAATAGAATTTGGGTGATAAACGAGCACACAGTCCACCTGATGGTAAGTGGTTGCTGTGACCCATAGACATCTACATCTATCTTCGTTTGCGAATTAAAATGCAGATGCGTTATCAGCCGTGAGGACTAAGATAGAATGCCTCTTTTCCAGTAATAAGGGTCTCTAGTTCTCTACACTCACCATACGAAACACAGCAGCATTGAGCCGCTATTTTACGTTGGTATTCTGTGAGCGCGTGGTCCATCCCCGGTCGAGCCTATACATTCGTGCTACAACTATACAACTAATTTAGCTGCAGCATGGCTCTACCATGTAAGAATTAAGGAATTAAGTAAAACTATTTTATACGGATTATTTTTGGAACGTCGGAAATGAAAATAGTAAATTAAACGCGATAAAATCCGTAAAAAATAGTTTTATTCAATGTGTGGTGTTCGCGTATAAGAAATCATTAAGGAATTAAGGTTCAGCGCAAAAAAAATTAAAACCCATGAAATCCAATCGTTATAAATTACACGCGGGCGAAGTCGCGGGGAACAGCTAATTATGTATATATATAAGTAACAAATTCAAAGAACAGATACATAACATACATAAAAATCTCACGCCTGACACCCAAAACGGTAGGCAGATACTACCGAATTCCAATTAGCACGATCCTGACACACTCATTTTGGCTCCGTCACATCTTACTCGCCTCCGTCATACCCTTAACATGGCCTAAATAAAAAAAAAACTACTTGTTCGACAAACTTCTATCTAGGGCAGTGGTTCCCTAACTTATTTCTGGCGCGCCCCCTTTCTACCAAAAAAAAAAATTACCACGCCCCCTTTGCTCAGATAATTTTAGATTACATCAAGCTAGAAAAAAAATAGTTCTGTTCAATATCATCAAATTTTTAATGCTTAAAAATTGCTTATATCATACAAAAACTACTTAATTATATAATACTACTTCATATTTAATCGAATGTAGATGGATGAGCTTGCATGGTTTTAACAAAAAAATTATTTCACAAATTTAATTATTTCACAAATTTTTGCGGTGTACATACACTGCACCCACCTACGGACATTTCTTGGTCGTAAGGTCAATAACTACGCAACTTGTTTGTAGCTCGCCCTTTGCAGGTCTCTGCGCCCCCCCCCCCCCACCTGGGTGGCGCGCCCCCACTTTGAAAACCCCTGATCTCGGGTATATACCATGCTAAATCTGCCACTCATTTCTGAAGCATAAATTTGCTTTGTCACTCTGTCCTCATTCATTCTTTCTACATGTTCAATCACATCATCTGCTTATCATCATCTTACAACATCTTGCAAATCACACGGAAAGCAGATTACAGTTTCTCAAAGAACAAATTTTCTATACTAAACTGAACTGAACCACTATTTTCAATGTGTATATTTCAAATGTTTCACTTGCAAACAGTGCAAGCAAACCTGACTCTTAGAGACGAACCTATCACCAAATCCCATATTAATATACCAAAATATTACCAGGTTCGCATGAACAGTAGCTTCTTCGATGTACTTTGCAATTCCCGTGACAAAACCATTTCGGTCCTCGAAGTTTGTGTCAAAGTTGGCCTGGTAGAGAATTGAACAAGGTGCTGCTTCAATACAGGGCTGCTCATCTGCAAGAGACATATTTATTAATATCCTAACTGACCAGGCAGTTGTTCTGCCCTTTCTGACAACATTTAGTACTATAAAAAATGTTTAAATTCACAATAAAAAACATTGAGGGTCACTTATCGAGATAAAAACTATACTATCTCTCAATTTGAATCAAACTGCACACAGTCTGCCAAAATTTCATTAAAATCAGTTCAGTAGTTTAGAAATTCATTGCAGACAAACAATGTGACATGTAATTTTTATATACCTAAAGCCCACTTGTATGACGTCAACAGAGTGTATAATTTGCCATTATAGAAACGTCGTCAACCGTTTGCTATGTCGTAGTCCAATCGTAAAATTAGGCAGTTTATGACCTGCCTGGGTATTTAATGATTTGGCTGATTGTTCATAACTATAATTGCTGTAAACTTTGTAAAAAATATCAAGAAATACCAGGAGCAATAGGTTGGGATTGAGCTGCGGTGGTTCTTCGCCCACACCAAAGCTGTACACATATAAATTAGGCACAAAGTACTATGGCGGATAAATTAAAATTAGCCGAATCGTGAAACAACAGTGTATCATTAAATTATAAGTTTATTTCAATAAAAAAAATTGGTTTACAATCATTGGTGGCCGGAGTCTCCTTTTAAGCAAATAATGCCTGTAGCATGTGATTCTGCTCTTCCATATCTATATCTATATTTTTTATTGTTATTATATATGTATTACAAATAATAACTTAAAAAGTACAAGAGAGAAAGTTTTTCCACTGTTTATGATATGTGTGTGTGCACATATGTGCATGTGTGTGAATAGGTAGATCACAAAATTATGCCCAGTTTTGAAATCTAATAGAGGTTTTCAGTTGTCAGTAAATTTCAATTAGGTTTACTAAGTTTTATTTCTTAGACACTTGGCCCTTATCTAAAAAATAATTTTTGCAATATCTTCATTTAATATAAAATTATTAAAGGTTTTAGGTAACAATTTTTATAAACACTAGGTGTTCAGTGATGTGTTTTGTTGATATATCAAGCAATGCCAACAAAGTTGATATAATGATGAATCATACAATCTGTTGATGACATAATAATATAATGACAAAGTCAATTAACTTCCTGCATGCCTTATGCCATAAGATACTGAGTACTGATTTCTATTCATAACAAAGATATCAACAAATATGTAGATACTGAAATATATAGGTACAATTTTAAAGATTTTTATAAATTATTATTGTCAATTAAACTAGGAAGTTTTTAGAATTACTAAAACTGCCCCATTATACCGCCATTCTTATACATCCAGCAAATTAATTTAACAAAAAAAAACAGTTTAGAAGAAAGGAAACAGAGAAATTAGGGATGTTAGTCCAAGCAGTAAGAGAGCATGCAACTGAGAGACAATTCTCTCTCAGTTGGCTAGTCCAGTTGTTCAGGCATATGATCATCACCAACATCAGACCATCACAAGACCACTGCTGAGCATAGGCCTCTCCCAAGGAAGGCCACAAGCAGTGGTCCTTACCTGCATCTTTTACTTTTGTGTGACACCAAAATAGTTCATTATCTTATAAGCATACAAGATACACTCAACACCCAGATATTTTTTTTAAACAAGAAAATCAGACCCTACAACAATATTTACCATAATTGTCGTGTAATCCTTAAGCTGCGTCTCCACCAAAGTTTAGTTACCAACTTTTGTGTTGTCAACATATGTTGGTAACAAATGTTTCTGTAATTACCTAGTGTTGCCAACAAAACTTGTAAACAATCATCAAAGGAATACACATGTTGTAAACATTTGTTCCCTCAATAGAGACGCTTGATGGAAACATTTGTTGGCAACATGCCTGACACATGGATGAATGAGTTAATCGACACATTCATTAATTTATATCGTTCACAAAATATATTATGGGATGAGTGTGATCAAAATTATATTATTATTTATAGGTAGATCTAGATAATTAGGTACTTAGTTACTGATGCCATAGTTACAGATTTATTATTTGATTTTTCGATTTTTTTGTGTATAATGCCAATGACCTTAATAAAAAGTTTAGTGTAAGTAGACCTCCCATTACTAGTGACTGCCTACTAATGCAAGATCAGCATGTACTAGTTATTAGTTTCATACTTCTCATTGCTACTCTTTCATTAATAATGAAGTAACGTGTTACATGTTTTTAAATAGCAAAAAATGTGAAACAGACAAGTGACGGCTCCGTGGTGCAGTGGCTTAGTAATGAGTTGCAGCGCTAAGGGCCGCAGGTTCGAATCCCGCACGGAACAAGTATTTGTATGGTCACTTGTAGACATATTGTGGCGAACAAAACTGGTGGAGACAGCAAGTTGTCAACTAAAATGTTTCTCAAATTGTTGGCGACATGTTTCAATTCGGTGCTATAACATCGGAAAAAAAGTTGGTAGCTTTTGTTGAGTTGGAAACAGTTGTAAACATAAATGTTGTCAACATTTTCGGTGGATACGCGGCTTTACTGAACGCACACACATTCGAAAAATAAAACATACAAAAAAAAACATGTCTTCAGTAAATCGACAGCGTTTGTTTATCGAGTGCATAGATTACTGGATATAATCGAGTGCTGATTACTAGTTACACTAATCAGCGGATGTAAAGAAAATATGATAATTTTGCACATAAATGGATAACAAATAACTTGCCTGGTAAAGTTAGTTCATCCAGAACATCCACATTGCTTAACGCATCCGAAAGAGATACTTTCTCACTTACAGACATTATTTTACTTATCTATTTATCTAATAGAAATAACTACAGCAAACTGTACCGTATCTAATGATTTTAATATCCTTTCTAAAACACTATCGTAACTCTGCACTCAAAATTAAATAATTTATGAAGTATACTTTAATAGTTGTATTATGAGGGTAAAGGAAATTATATTTCATTCAAGTTTTGTTATTGATGATGAGTAAATAAAAACCCAGCCCAACTTTACAAGCAAGCTTCAACCCACAGAGTACTTTTATATATACTGCTTCAACCCATACAACTTTATAATTTGTGCTTCAACCACAGTACTAGGCTCCGGCCAAAAATGTCGATATATCGAAATATCGATATTTTTTTATAAAAATATCGATATATATCGTCGATATTTTAAATCGCAATCTATTGATATATATTTTAGAGTATTGAATTCGTATCAAATTCAATATGTTTTAAAATATTGTATCGTGTTTTTCGTCGTCAAACCGTCAGTAAATAAAATTTTGGACCTTATCTTTACATCATGCAAATGATGACGATATATCGATATCGATATATCGTCGATCATGCGATATATATCGATACTGTTTAAAAATATTGATTGGATATATTTTTTCCCTTGCCCATCACTCACTTTAAAAATAATTGGGTGTAAACATTATAGAATTAAATAAGGATAAAAAGAATGTAATTTTAGACTTTTGTTATACTATATTACTGCATAAATATGAATTTACATAAATTATGTATTAACATACATGTCTAAATATTTATATTAGAGACTCTGTCTTCTAAACCCAAATTATCGAAGTAATTCGTAAAATAAATGTTGCACTACAGTTTTCGGTTATGTATCGGTTGTCGTTTGCGCATCCAGTGGCAAACCATTACTTCTAATATAGATATTTGAAAATGGTTTTCAATAACGACATGACAACTAAATATCGGTTATGTCACCGTTGCAGCTAAAAACTGAAAACGCCCATGCTTACTATTAACTGTAAACTAGGCTTCGCTTCGACCTTCAATTTGACAATCACAGAAACATCTATCGTAAAAATCTGACTTACCATATGGCATAGTCTGGTTTGCCGTATTTTAGGGAAAAATTACTAAATAGGCATATTTATAAATATTTATTTTAAAAATGTGAAAAACGGTTGACCCTGCAGGCCATTCCTGGAACTTCTCGCTTATTTTCAAGCACAACGCTCATAAATCTATTTAATTTTTGTTTTTTTTTGTTTTTATTTTTTGAAAATCTTTGACAATCCTCGACCGATTTACTAAAATCTAATCAGCTCGAAGTCTCAATGAACATTTTCGAACGCCGTGTTGCCCACCCATCTCGATCAGTTGATTTCTAAAGATATCGTACGACAAAATTATATTTACATACATATATACATACACACACACACTCTCTCTCTCTCTCTCTCTCACACACACACACACACACACACACACGGCCGGACGTCCAGAGATTGTGTGTACGTCAGAGAGGATATATGTGTTCGAAGCCTCGGTAGTCTTGAAGGCAGTGACCTGTCCATTCTATGACTACGCATAGACGGCGACGACCACCTCAGCGTCTATAGATACCTTTATAGTTCCCACAGCAGTAATGCCGAGATAGATCGACTCTTCGACCACGTCCAAATGGATACAGATTCGTGCTACATCCGTGCTACAACTGATCCTGTCCGTAGATATCGTGCTCCTTGGCAATTGCAACGCCCACCACGCCAAATGGCTCAGTTATCGTACTACCAATCATGTGGGGAGATCTCTTTACAACTTTGCCTTGGTATATAGTCTGAGAACTGGTCATTTCGCCCACGCGGATTCCAGATGTGGAAGATCATTCACCTTCCCTGTTTTATCTTCTGCTGAACTCTCATGCGTTCATCCTTGGCCCTCAGGCCCCTTTTGCTCTTCGGTTCATTGCCTAATCTGTAAGCTGTCGCCGTGTGTGGCACTATGGGTTAGCGGATTGAGATGGGTGACTTTTATGCATCCTACCCATGAGGGTGGATTAACTTCTCGCAGGATGATCAAAACATCGTTGCTGAGTCTGCCGCTGATGTGGTGCTTCAGGGGATGGAAATCGTCATCCCATCATCTGTAGTGCCTATCGGCGGCAAATCCCAGCCTTGGTTGGCATTCCAGCCAGCAAAATTGCGTCGAAGCAAAACCAGGGGAGTTGCGATGCCTGGGCCGACATTCTCAGAAAAAGTACAACGCCTCCAGGTTCTTCAAAAGAGTGCAAAGCCGGAGCATATTGAGAGAATTGACAAGAAACTAGTTCACTATCCTTTTTTTTATAGGATAAGGGTGACAAACGAGCACACAGTCCACCTGATGGTAAGTGGTTGCTGCGGCCCATAGACATCTCCATCTATCCTCTGTTACAAATCAAAATGTAGATGCGTTGTCACCCGTGAGGACTAAGATGGAATGCCTCATTTCCAGTTAAAAGGGCCTCCGGCCACCTGCACTCACCAAGCGAAACGCAGAGGTAAACCTCTACTTCACGCTGGTTTTCTGTGAGGTCGTGGTACTACCCCGGTTCGAGCCGGCCCATCCGTGCGACAGCAAAAGCTGCCGCGTGGCTCTACCACTGTTAAATCCTTCGGGGACTCGTGCGTTCTGTTCTCTCGCCAAGGGAATTTCTGTAAGCCATCATTATTTTAAGCCATTACTATTGTAAGCCATTTCTGCGCAGAGAGGATTATTCGCTGGCCCACGCCGTAAAGGAGAAAGCCGATCTTTTAGGTTCTCTTTTTGCGTCTAACTCGCCTCTCGACGACAGAGGGAATCGACCGCCGACCATCTCGCAGCGTGAATGCTCAAAGCAAGATGTTCGGTTCACACAATGCTCAGTGCGTAAAGCACTATTGTTCCTTGCCGTCCATAAGGGCTGATGGAATCCCCCAATTATGATGAAAACGTGTGCTCCAGAGTTAGCACCGGTTCTTACGCGACTTTTCTGGTTCTATTACTATTTAGTCGTCGTTTCAATCTCATGGAAGACAGCCTTAGTGCACCCGATTCCTAAGAAAGATGACCGCTCGGAACCGTTAATCTACAGTCCTATCGCCATCACCTCTTTGTTCTCCAAAATAATGGAATTCACTATTAACTACCAGACAATGAGGTACCTTGAAAAGCAGCCGTCGAGGTCGCTCAGCTGGTGATATTCTTGTCTACCTGACTCACCGATAGGCGGAGGCAGTTGAAACCAAGTAGAAGGCCCTGGCGGTTAATTTGGACATAGCGAAGGCCTTCAATTGGATTTTGCACAAAGCGCTTCTTTCAAAGCATCCCTCTTATGGGCTTCCCGAGAAATTACGTAATGGGGTCATCAGTTTTCTTATAGATCGAAGTACTAAAGTCGTAGTCTACGGTGTATGCTCCGCATGCACATCATTTTGACTCCATGCCTGTGAATGGTGATATTCCACAAGGCTGATTGCTATCGCCTATCCTGTTCCTTTTGCATATCAATGGTATGTTGCATACTAGTAACATTCATTGTTATGTAGGCGACAGCACTAGTGATGCCTTTTACCTACATCAGGCATTCTAGTCCAGCTTAACTTCCAAAAGACAAGTTTGCGCGTTTACCGTAAAAAAGAAACCCCTTTTTCGTATCTCCTCAATTTCAGGGGAATCCATTGCTTCAGCCAGCGTCTGAATCCTTGGCGTCGACATTTCGAGAGACGTACAGTACCGTATTTAACGGAGAGCAACAACTACGTCATCGACCAAGTTCTTTCTGATCGGCTTGATACACTGGCCTTGCGAAGAAGCGTTGCATCGCATTTTCTACCGCATATATCAAAGAGAGTGTTGCTGTTGAATTCCACCATATTACACTGCAACAGAACTCGAGATTAAACCCTCATGATCTTGATGGCTGACGGTCTACTACGGTTTTAAGTTTTAAAAAACGTTACCCTCACACTAGGATTTTCTCCTGTATTGTGGAGGCAGTTTACAAACACAAATTGCACAAAGACAAACATCCAGACCCGGAACAATTATTTGTAGGCCATACAAATACTTGTTCCGTGCGGGATTCGAACCCGCGACCCCCAGCGCAACAACTCATTGCTAAGCCACTGCGCCACGGAGCCGTCAAACGGTGCGATTTACGTGGAATTTTTTGCCTCGCACGACCATACTGTAAATTTATTTCGCCGCGCCTAGTTTGCCTTTAGGATAATCCGTCACTGCTTGTAGCCCATATACTTCTAGTTCTATCCTTCCTTAAGAATCAAAAAGTCGATGCGCTGTCACGCTTGAAGACTAAGATGGAATGCCTCATTTCCAATTAAAAGGATATCAGGTTCTCTACACCCACCAATACAAAACACAGTTATCTATTAAGCTGCTTTTTTACGTTGGTATTCTGAAAGAGAGTGAGTAGTCTTTCCCCGGTCGAGCAGAAACATTCGTGCCACAACCACAATAACCACATCATAGCTGTATCATGACTTAACCAGGTAACAAAACTACTGGTTTTGCTTATAATGGTTGGCAGGCGTGTCACTTTGTAAAAATCTGAGGTATGGAAAATGGTGGCGCGATTTTCAAATTTGTTCGCATTACTCGTGGGGTATTAAGGTTTAAGACTTTGCAGTGTATATACTCAACTTATTTATTGAACTATAAGATGTGGGGTATTGAGGTTTAAGGGCTTGCGATTTATTTATATGGGGTTTGTAGTAATATGCGATTTATTTCCTAATTTCAGCTATGGAATTCCATACCTTGAAAAACTTGAGGTATGGAGTGCTCCATACCTTCCATAGTGGAAGTGACACCCCTGATGGTTGGTACTAAACTAAATTCCGTGTAATTTGCAAGTACCTTCGTGTTAAGGGTGCTTTGGATAGTAGGTTTGTTCTGGTGTGGGGCAGTGCAAACAGCGGTCGCCACCCATGCCGTACGTACTCATCTTATTCGCTCAGACGCTCCAATATTCGAATAATGACCAAGTAGGA